TATATATATACCCCACACCCCCTCCTTCCGCATTGCTTTTCATTACAGTAAAAATTAACTCACTTTTTGTTTTTCAACACAATTGTTTATTTTCAATATTTCTATTTTACAGGTTCTGTAATTGACCATATTTCTATATACTTTGCCTTGTATTCAACATTTTTAATAATATTATGAAAAGGTGGATCGAACAGAGCCACGTATCCGTGTGCACAATATCTTCAATTGCTGGAGACTGCACCTCCGATGTTTGAGATGAACCTATCAACAGGAAACTCCTTAGTATGTCGCTGTGATCGAAACATCCATGCAAGAGCTCATTTTAAATGTTCAAATGAATATTATTATTACTTTGTCACATGATTATTATTCTCTCACAATATATCTTAAATCAGCGGTTCTCAAACTTTATGGCACTTTCGTGGACGTTAAAAACATTTATTCATAATGGGTCGTTAGTTGGTAAACAAAATTGAAGTATGTTTATATAGAACTTAGAATGCTCTCTGTTTAGGTGAGACTTGTTTACACCTTGTTTAGCGGACCCGCTGACTGCAAATATTAATGATTTCGAATATAAATACAATTTTATTTTTGGCCAATTAAGCGCATCCGTCACAACGAAAAAGTGGAAATTTCAGGGAAAAAAATAAAAAGATTTTCTTTATATTTATTATGCCTTACATTGCCTTGAAACCTCCAAAGATATGTATATTTCTTCCTAATTATATGAATTTGAAGCATTTAACCATCCTATTTTACATTCACTAATAACATTTTATTTTTATTTTCTCCTCCGTTTGGATGTTTTTGGCAAAACTATTTGCTATATATGAAAACAAAATTTTATTTATATTTTTTTCCGCCCTCCACCGATGATTTTTAAATAAATAAGGATGTGAAACAAGGCATAAAAAAAAGTACCTTACTACTGCAAATTATAGCATGATGAAAAATTCAATACAAAAAAAACCCTAGTCACTCGACCCTCTAATCTCCTCTAATGTATTTGGGGACCCAATTTAGGGGCGCATCCCATAGTTTGAAAACAGCTGCCTTAAAATTATAAATGAGCACACGCTGCATCGCCTGCCAAATCCACCTCCATTCTGTGTGAGCGTTTGATGAAGTGACGCAGTATTCCCATTGTTGGTTGTGGTCCGAGGGGATCATATATTGAGACAGCGACGTTACTTTGACATCGGTGGGTGAGACCACTTGAATGCAACCTTCTCCTGCATCACTGCTTTATGTTGTTGTTATGCGCCTGGAGGTTATTAACATTAGGCGCTATATAAATATTGATTATTATTATTATTATTATTATCATTGAAAAGGATCCAACATGCATGCACATACAAACACAACTCAACAAGTTGCTCCATCGCATCGACCGACGACAGGGGCGGATTTAGGGGGGGGCCGGCCCGGCCCCGGCCCCCCCTTTTGGGAGGTAAAAAAAGAAAAAAGAAAGAAAAAAAGAAAGAAAAAGAAAAAAAATGATAGCCCAGAACGCCTCAAATGTTATTTTCGGGCGTCTAAAACACAAAAATTTCGCGGGGGCATGCCCCCGGACCCCCTAGGACATTGTTGTCTCGATCGGCCTAAATTTCGGCCCCCTTTCGGTCCCCCCTTTTGGACATCTCTGGATCCGCCCCTGGACGACCAGGACAGTGTGTGCTCAGGAGGAAAGTTTATCCCTGATGAACTACAAACATATACGGATAGATCCTGGATTTCAAACACAGGAGGCAAAGCTAGAGTAAATATGCCCTACCCACACCCTCCATATGGATCCAGCACTGAGTGTTCTTATTCTTCTTAAACTTACAACCACTCTTATAACCAGCTCACCAAGGCATTCTCTTGTGCACCATCATGCCAAAAACATGGTTAATAATAAACAAGATTAACAAAGTTTACAATCGTTACAAGTCTATTATTAGTCAATTAATATTTTGTTTTCAAATTACTTCTTCTCTTTCTTCTTCTTCTTCATATTTAATGCTCTCATCAGAAAATTGAAAGATGTGATCAGCGTAGAGATCCTCGGGAAGAGGGTTATCTAAATCTGGAGAGAATGTTGGGAACGGAGGTGCAGATGTTAAAAGAGTGAGGTCCGAATCTTTGATCTTCAAGAAATCATACATAAATCCAGGTAAACTTCCAATGATATATAGAAGATTATGCTTGGTATTGATGCGTAGAATCTGTTTGGTAAAAGAATATCAAGATCAATTTCTTTCCACTGTATATTATTTATTGTTTTTTGTTGCAAATATTTAAAAAATTGAGCACATTTACAAGGTTAGAATCCACCAGAGTGAACCTAATCAATATATCAGAAATGATGGAAGTTGAAACAGAACTTTTACATTTATAATAATATGCTTTAATAATATGTAGTTTATACTGCACCAAATCCAACTTTCAATAAGCTATTTTGTAGTTTCAACTGCACATATCTATGTCAAAGGTCAAATGATATAAACAAACAAATCACATGGTTTGTGCCAATGTTGATCTGAATTTTATAGTTTTAATTATTAGTAGTTATTAATTAGATAGCAGTCTAGTAGATAGTTGTTTCTTTTTGTAAAGTGCATTGAGGCTTTTTGCGGAATGCGCTATAGAAGTATGGAATTATTATTATTATTATTAGTCTTCACGGATATCTTGTACTATACCTCACCTGTAAGTTGTACTTCCACCTCCATCTATCTCCCATCATCCCAGGCATTTTCTTACCAGGCCACACCCGGCCTGGTGACTAAAAAATAACAGCAGAACAAGTGAAATTTAAACTTATTGGCAAACCTTACAATGTTGAAAAGAGAAAACATGGATAGGGTGCCCACCAATAACTTGCCTCATACCTAATTTAAAGTCCAAACCTTACTACTGCTTTCATGCTTCCATATTAAGCAATTAGTATAGTTGCATATCATACACTAGCGGGAATTATTATACGAAGGTTAGATTAATGCTTGAACAAAATTCCTGTAAGATATCTTGTAAGATATTCATTGTGGGCATGTAATGAATATTGTTCTAATGACGGTTCACCTAAAATACTGTTTTCAAGACATCACATGTCAAAGAATTTACATCAACCATGTAAATTAGCACATACGAATTGACAATCTGATTGTCAAAGCTTTTTGCAAACCTGCTCATGCCCCAACACAAAAGTTTGACGACCCACATTTGGGTCGCATGGTTTTACAGTATAGGAACCAAAAATGTACCGTAATGTGAGTAAATAACATTTACAATTGTAAAGTCATTCTCATGAAATAATAATAATGTGAAGCACTTGGAGGCCTTGTTGGCATTAAGCACTATGCAAGTTTACCTTTATTATTATTATTATTAAATATGGTTTACTTTAAATATGTATATTAAAAGCTGAGTAATAATGAGTGTTAGACCATAGCATTCTAGATTCAACTCACTCCTCCTCCACCGACCCCACCAATTCTCCTGTGGGTTTTAGTCGCTCCGTGAGAGGCAGGTTGCCCACTGAAACCCCACCGTTTCATCACGCCTTGGAAACCCTTTGCTCTCCTTCAATTCACAAAAAAAAAAAATTGAGTGGATTAAAAATAGTATCATGTTAACACATTTAAGTTTTATTCAATGAATGACTCACAGTTTTTATGAAGATGTTTTTTTTAATTATTTTTCAATTTATAAAACATCAATCAATAAATGTATGATTGATATGATTATACGGTTACAGCTAAAGAACATGTTGTATTTCCCATTCTAAAATTGATTGGGCTGAATGTATTAAATTTGATCGTATGATCTTTCACTTTTGCTGTTATTGTTCAACAGTCATTTGACATGCGCTGCTATTGCATGAATACTTACGTTTTACCACATATATCAACTTTCATCCCGGGTTTGAAATGAGCTGCAAATAATGGCGTCCCTGTACAGATAAAATAGAACTTACTGTCAAAGAAACGATTGCTATTATGTGGTTAATGCAGTAGTTTCAGTCTCTATATTCCCATTTTGTAAATTCAAGGCCAGGGTCGGATTAAGTTTTGATTTACATTTCGCATGTCGAGTTGTCGTCGTAAAATGTAAATCAAACCAGATTTTGGAACAGAATTTGGAGAGCTTGTTTGATCAAGTCAGACCTACGTTTTGAATTTTGAATTACATTTTAAAGAAATTAGAACTAGGGCCTACATTTGGGAAAAGTTGAACTACATTTTGAAAAATTAGAAAACTTTGTTTTAGGAAACTAGACCTAAATTTTGAGAAATTAGATCTATGTTTTGATAATTTAGACATTAAATTTTGCAATTACATTTTGATTTTAACATAGACTTTTGCTGCATATGGCACCCCATAATCCATGGGCCATGAAACTTCCACTATTTTCATTTGACAATACAGCTATACTTTTGTATTAAATTTGTTGATACACATTGTGTTTATGAAATCGAATGTTAGGACCTCTAAATTCTTAAATGGCAGTGATGACCAGGAGGCTTCTCCCCTGCACACCCCCATACCACAACAAACTTGGTGCAAAGGGCCCCTCTCTATCCTTCCTAGGAAGCAACATCTTCCCCCCCCCCCTCCCCCACCTCTGGTGTTAAACCACTGTGAACAACTTTACAAATGATACTGCATACCTGGCTGAAGCTTTGAATTTTCTGAGACTGTGAAGGTCGCCAAAAAGTCCTTCACAGGAATACCTGTTCCCTTGAACAAATCCAGGTAAGTTCTGTCTCTCTAAAAATAAAACAAAGATACAGATGGCAATAATTAAGTATAATGAAATAAAATAGTGAGTAAGATAATACTATACGTGGAGACTGGTTTTAGATATTAGATATTCAACTACTCCCTGCCACCAGCCCCAACTCTCACAATGATGCACTTTCAGCATAGCAAAATATAGTATGAAATTATAGTTCTGAGAATGCTATAGAAGATAGAGGCCAAAGAAGTCATTATTTCCTGACAAAATGCCTGAACTCTGTAGGGCTGAAGGCAATTTTTTAAGGAAATAACTGCCTTGTTATCTCATAACCATATGCCTTTTTAGGACTTGCCTAGGTCAGTGGTCTAGGCTACAGTATATTCATGTTAACCAGCGCTGTTGAGAGAGATTTGTTAGGTCTGCTGTGTGTATTCAGAGCCTGGCTAGCAACAAAATATTCATTGCGATGTAAAACCCCAGCCTTCACTGAGCTTTTTGCACAAAAGACACAAAATATCTGAGGCACAATATCAAATTAGTGAATAATCAAGGATAGGAGAATTACCTGCAAATGAAAGTGATGATGTCACAACTGACTTGTAATTGATAATATTCCCAATATAATTATTTTTATTGATTAAAATTTGTGTGAAAAGAAAAAATGATGTCTATTTATGCATGTTTGTGGTGCACATGCATGCATCTTGTAGGATTTTGGCCCAAAGAAGACAGTTAAGGTAAGGTATGTGGATATTTGTATGTATCTATGAACAAGACTGCAAAATCAAACATCCATCAATAAATATAAAATATGATAGTAAACAAAACATAAAAACAACAAGAATGTGGAAATAAATTTATCCAATTTTTGTAAAAATATTGGGAGAATTTTGCTTTGAAGTTTAAACTAATGACTTTGAAGATTGATTAAAAAAATTCTCAAAAAAAATATATACAAACTACATGACTTACAGAGTCTGGTGGTATGTTTTTGGCGCCCACTATAATTGCTCCATAGTTTGCTCGTCTATGACTATACTTGTACTCTGCTGGACTTTCATATTTCAAAACTTCATTTTCTAAGATCTGGAAAACAAATTAACAATTTAACATGAATGATTCAAATTTAATTTTTTTTTTTTAAATTCAACTTATTGACGCTACAAAAGCCAAGGCATATTATCCGCATAAATTACAACAGTACACATAAAACGGATACTTTTACTTATATATACTATACATCCATGTACTACCTGGACCACAGTTGCTGCAACTTGCTCGCCATCTTTTGTCCACTGCCTAACCATTCCAAGTTTCATTCCAACCAAACCTGTGCGTTTGGATTTTGGTGTCCAGACACCTTTTTCCCACGGGGGTTCTTTCAATGGACTCGTGTCGAATTTGTGTTTTTTGAGATTCCACTCTTTCAAGAATTCTTCATTTTCTTCTGTGACATCATTTTCATATATTGTAGTGTCGAGACGTCTCGTTGCTAAATAATAATCAGGTCTATTAAAATAAAAGAAAATGGAATAAATGAATATACTATAAATTAGAGTGGAATTGAATGGCCCTGTAGTTAAGATGCTTAGCATCCAATCCCAGGGTCATCAGTTCAATTCCTGTTACGGTAAGAGGATTTTATTTTACGAGTAATTTTAGATATCAATAAAGAAAAGAAAGGTAAGACTTTGAATCTTAGCCCAAGTCTCCCCAAGTCAGGTTTTATATTGTATGATTGTATTCAATTTTTTAAAATAAATCATTATACAAAAATAAATAAATAAATAAAAACCTCCATTCCCTAAAAAAAAAAGCCTTATAATAGAGCATCTTGTACCATGCTTGTACATGCTTTTCTTGTGAAGGGATTTGCCATGTAGGAAAGTGATTTTTTGCTGTTATAGTTTGCCTTAAGACTTAAGAGTTCTCAAAGGGCCGAGTTGACTCAAATTCCTCACAAAAGCCATATGAGTACATAGATACCACCAACCAGCAAGTAGTTTACTTTAATTATAACCCCTACACCTTAAAAATAACAATAAATTTACATCAGAAGTTAGCTATTTTTTACTCTTAATGACAGCAATCATTAAATATTACATCACAATTTTTAGCTACTTTTACTCTTAAGTCTTATATCTAAATCTAGAATTGGACAGTCAGTAGTTCCGTTAAGCCCCTCTCCCACTAGGGGCTTTTTCAGCATACGAGTTACAAGAGAATGCCGAGTTGCTAACTTGGCAAAAACTCGTAGGATGATTCGGAAAGCTTGGAGATGATTCGGAAAGCTTGGAGAGGACTCTTACCTACTCGTAGCAGCTCTGAACTCGTGGCTCTAATTTTGAACATGTTCAAAATTATCGCCACCAGTAGATAACTCGTAGTAAACTCGAAGAACTCGTAGGTAGCTCGTAGATACTCGGGGTACTCCTACCTAGCTCGTACACTACTCTGGATACTCGTCGGCGGTTTTGTCATCTACGGGTTTGATGCGAGCACCCAAAAACGAGTACGAGTAAGTACGAGCACACCGTGTTGGCTAGTACCTAACTCGTATCTAATTCAGTACAAACTTGTTACACTCTTAATAATCTCGTAGTTAACTCGGTGCTCTGCTTGGCATAATTCGTACATAACTCGAAAGCAACTCCATAAAGTCGTACCTCACTGGTCGTAGCTAACACGTAATAAGCTCGTATAGGTCCTTTCCAAAGATCACGCATTTTAACTCGTAGAAATCGTACGACTCTTAGGTGAAATAAACCTAGGTGGGAGAGGGGCTTTAGTAGTACGTATCAGTAGCCTAGGTCCATTTCGGTTACCACCGATCAGACAGCCAGTTTGTGGCTTGCACGGCCGTCACGTCTACACACACATAGACCCTGCTGAAGGCTGCTGTATGTAGTACTAGGCCTAGCCTAGAGTAGGCTAAGCCTAGCCTAAGCCTCTAAACTAAGCCGAGCAGATTGTATTAACTTTAATATAAGCAATCTAGCATTACGATAGTTTTTTTACTTTCTATACTTACGAATTTTTAGCATCTTTTGATGCACATTGTATTCGCAAAATGTAATTCGGTAAACATTTCAGAAAACTATAGCTCCGTGATGATAACAGCATGACCGACACGGAGGCAGCCATTTTGTAGTGACCACCAAAACCTTTGTATTCAGATCTCTGATTGGTCAAACCTGAAGGTTACTCAAACTTTACAACAATGATATGCGGTGTTATATAGGCCATGGATAGAGAACACGTTCGCAGACATAAACAACGTTTTTATGCCGTGTGTGGTGCTAGCTGGCCTAGGATCAGCCGGGGAACAGTGAATTGTTCCCTGGATCAGCTAGCAGGGCTTAGGCCTAGGTCCTATCTTTAAGTTTATCGAAAGCTAAGAGCTTTATTTGGTTATTATGGATACTTCAAAGATAACAAGACTCGAAGAAGAGCAAATTAAAGCTTTTCAAGATACACTTTCAAAATTACAACAATGGTAAGAACTGCTTTGTGTTCTGTTTCAATCATGATGAGACTGTAGGCTAGGTCTAGCCTAGGCCTAGGACTAAGAAGAGCGAGCGCCTACAGTCTCATTGCCCAGATGACCAAGGGCATCTAGTAGGGGCTAGGTTTAGGTATGATGTCATGGGCCGCTTCAGTTGTTTGACTGTCGTCTAAGTATGTTTTTATAATCTTTGTTGTGTTTTAATATTATTTGTTTTAACCTTGGTTGGAAAGCAAATTTCCGATAGTTTGTATTTGACAAGAAATTGAACTCAGGCCTAGTTAAAGCCCCATTCCCGGGAAAATTTCACTAAAAATGTATTTTATTAGAAAAAATGCATATGCATACTCTAATTATAATAAACAATGTAAAAATATTGGCATAAATTTTAGTTTACGCAAGGAATAAAAAAAAAAAAGAAATACAGACAATTTCTCATATAGGAGATTACAATTTTCTCGACGAATTCTTCGTAACTAGGCAAATTCATCCGCATTTAATTTTTTTGTGTGGAACACAAAAAAAAATCAAATTTCATTCTTATTTTACATTTTTTTTCATGTTTAGGAATGTCTAAATTCAGTTAAACTAGCATTTTCGAATTATATTTATACATCTTTATAACATGTATAAAAATCAGTTTTTTCTTAACAACCGAAATTTTTCTGGGAACAAAAAACAAAGGATCACATCACTCTGAAGTGGCTATTCATAAGGTTAGCACATGTCAGTGAAGAATACACAGTTGTCATGGCTAAATATATGTTGATAATCAATAAATTATTTTGCTTATGCCTATTTTCTAGGGAAACGTTCAAAAAAGATTATGAAATATTAGAAGATCGCTTAAAGACCTTACCGGACAAAGTAACGCATCAAGTGATGGTAAGCACAATTTAATATAATATATAAAATTACTTTGTGACAAGGCTATTTACAGACATGGAATTTAGGTAAAACTACTTTATTTGTATAAATTTCACATTTTTATAAACAAATTTCTTCATTTTTTCCAGCATATTTTAATCGATGTAAAATTTATTTTCTTTACTCGTTTTATGTACACATACATTTGCTTTTAATTTATTCAGTATATTTATGAATTTTAAATATTATTATAAAATAAATAATAATATAAAATATAAATATAAAATAAATTTATTTTCTTTACTCGTTTTATGTATACATACATTTGCTTTTAATTTATTCAGTATATTTATGAATTTTAAATATACAGTATACTTTCATTTTAAAATCAGCATTTAAAGGGTTATTCAGTATGAAGACAGAACAATTGTAATACTGTACATATAACAAAATATCTGATACAATTAAGTTATAGTGTACATTCGTGAGATCTAACAGTCTTGAATTGGAGCATCTTAAAATCAAAGCATGTACAGATACCGTACCTACGATTTGATTCATCAGTACTTGTGTACCAGATCTACTATTTTTATTCCATTTCAGATCATCATGATGTGGATTATCATATAGATTCAGATAAACTTTATTTCATCCTTTTCTTAGGAAATTACATGGTCAAAAAGATGTTTCTCATTCTCAAAGACATGATACAAATGTATTTTTATTTTTAAATAAAAGTTAAATTTTAATTTCATTAATTGTTGCTATTTAATTATTTATGTTTTTGGGTTGTAGGTGCCGTTCGGGCCTATGGCCTTTATGCCTGGACAGTTGGTACACACCAACGAGATAAATGTGCTCCTTGGGGATGACTGGTTTGTGGAGCGATCTGCAAAGCAGGCGTGCGGCATAGTACAGAGGAGGATTAATCGTAAGTACTATCCTTGCTGATGATGTCACTGTAGATTTGTGGTGCACAACCTGGAGTCGCTGCGGACCCCTATATTTGGGGGTCCACCAAGTCGAAAGGCTTCACTACACTTTTGGGTCTGCAACGCCTTCAGACCAATTTTTCATCATTCCATTATTTTTCTCGTCTTACTACAGTATGATAAACATCTTACTGCTAAGAACCTTATCAATTAGGAAATATTTCTGTTGGAATATCGATTATGAGTAACCTTCAATTAATCAATTTTATATAAAATTTAGATAATATGATAATGATTTGCTGTAAATGAACTCTGATAAAAATGTGATTCATGACATGTAGATGTTCAAGGTATGATAAAAGATCTGCAAAAGCAAAAGGAACTACTGGAGGCTAGACTTGGCTTCACTGCTGACTTCAAGGCAGAATCATCTCAGGGGGAAGGGGTCGTAGACATCAGGGAGGAATATGATGCAGAGAAGGAAGCAAAATGGAGAGGTATGTCAGTAGCCTAAAACGAGAAAGTTGTGCTGCATTAATTTCTGAATGTAGGAGAATGCTGTTATGAGCCCAAAGCATCGGCATTATGATGTAGGATATCTAGTTCCTTTCTACTCCGCCTTTTAATAAACTCATTAGTATATTTCAGCCAGGTTCTTGGTCAGTTGAATGAATCAAGAACCATCCTCTCTGGGAATTAAACCTGGGTTTTTGACATGACAGGCAAGTGTCCTAATCGCATATACAAGAAAACAACTCTTCTATATTATTGTTATTGTGGTGGCCTTGCAATCTGTTCTGTTCTAAGGGTAGCTGGGCAAGACTAGCTGACATGCTTCTAGATTTATACAGTCAGACTTCAGATGTGTTGTCCTATGGCTATTGTCTTTAATTAATGAAGCTGATTAAATGCAATCACAAATATGTACAAATGATCAGATAATAAAGAGCAAATCAAATATTTGGCCTACAATTAAATATATAACTTATAACTTAAACGAAGATACGCAGTGTATCCACCCTATCCACCAATACGTATCCATCAGAGTTCATCCACCGTATCCACCATAGTGTATCCACAGATACGTATCCACTGTATCCACTGACACGGGCTAAGACACGGGTCTAGGAGTTGTCACTCAGGCGTGCACTTAATGCACCGCTACAGGGCTAGAAATTCCATGCAGGATAACAAAATATTCTTCAGCTGCTAGTGGGCCTACCACAAGGCTCCACTTATCACAGGATCAACTGTATTTTTGCGTAGGCCTACCACACAAGGCTCTACTAAGGAGGATCTGTATTCTTGTAGGCCTACCACACAAGGCTGTACTGAGCAGGCAGAGTCTATATATCACTCCCTAAAATATCTCACAGCTCTTTAGGCTAGTGAGAACCCTAAAAATGTATTCGACTGATTATAATTTTTTTTTATATTGCCACTTAGATGAAAGACAGAAGAAGAGAAAAGCAGCAACTATGAGCCAGGCAACCCCTAGAAATATTAATGTTGATCATAAACCATCAACTGCAAAAAATGAAACTCCTGTCGAAGGTTAGTATAATGAAAATCATTGCCATACTGTAGTGTCAATTGAGGGGTATGTAGTGGTTTGGGGTAACCTCCCCATTCCTTGTGGAGTAGGGGGGCAAAGCTCTGATTAGGATCAGGGGCTAAGGAGAATTTTCAAATTAAATGCAAGTATGTGTTCATATCCTTGAACATGCATTTTTTAAACACTGTGGGCTAGTTCATATGTATGATTTAGGCGATAAAGATTACTGCTAATCCAATTAAATACATGCCCCAAATCTGGATTTGCTAAAAAGACCTCCAAAAATCCAACACGCCAAACATAGTGATGAAACCGCACCTGCAAACATCAATCGCGCAATAAATCTTCTTCAGCGTGTCCAATCTGTGTTAATTTACGCGATAACTTTGACAAGTATGAAGGCCTAGAAAATCTACGCCTCGGGCTACTTAGGAAATACGCGTAGGATTATCGCTAAAGAAAAATCAAGCATGAACGCCGCCCTCTTCTGCCCAGCTCAATATTTCTTCTCTTTGCTTCACTGGACAAAGGTTCCTATAAAATCAAAACAAAGTCATGGATTTTATCACAAATTGAATCCATAAATCTGTAGACAATTTTTGAAATAAGTTTTAAAACTCTGCTATTATGTTTACAGCAAAACCTAGTGGCAGTGTAAAGAAGGAACAGAAGAAAGGTGATGGTGAAGAGAAAACAGCAAAACAGAAGAGAATGGAAGAAATGGAAGCAGCCTTGTTTGCAAGACTTGATGCTTTGGAAAAACAAGAAGAAGAATTTGATGAACTAGCAATGTTAGTAAAGATCCTGTCCAGATTATCCAATTTTCTTTGACAATAACTGTTTTATGCCCATATATAGGCATGATGTGCCTATATATGGCCATGATGTGATGTCATCATGGCCATATTTAGGCGTGTCAAATGTTTTTTTTCAATAAAATTTGATAGTCTGGACAGAGGCTTTATTAAACCATCGATTAAAAGATTTTGAAATCTCTTTTGGCTTATTACTTTTTTGTAAAATTTTTATCAAAATGATGTATATTAACAATAAATAATGTTTTTAAAATAACTCCATCGCAATTTAAATCTAGGTTGTCGGATTTTGATGAAAATGAGGATTATGATGAGGATGACGACGATTCCGATGATGAAGATGATACACCTGTGGGTGATACCAAAAAGAAACGCGTTCAATGGAAAGATAGCAGTCAAGGTGAAGAGAGGCAAGATTTAACCAAAATTACATTCCAACACAGTAAACTAACTACAACAGAGGTAAGAAAAACATTGAACTTCAGTGGCATATGTAGGAGTCCTGATGGGGGGGGGGGGGGGGGGGCCCCCAACGGTGGAGTTGGGTTTGCTTGATGATTAAGTGAGAGGGGGGCACTAGGTTGAAAAGTAACATGATTTCTAACTACTGTACTGAACTTCAGTGTGATTTATTTGCTTTAAACATTTTCAATGGTGGTGGAGTGGGGTAGGGGGGGGCGACTCTGGGAGTGAGCTTCCATTTACATTTCTAGATACGCCAATATTGAACTTAGGCTGGGGTTGGATGGTGCACTGTCTAATGCCATACAAAATTCATCCTTGATTATATCTACCACAGTGCATGCTAGAAAATATAGATCTGTTAGGACAATATTGTACTTTCTTCTTTTTTTTTTAAGCTAGCAATTAATGAACTTTGTTTTCTTATAGGCTCATCAAAGTTCAGAAACAGATGCAGAAAAGCCTGGTCAAGGAGTCATCCAGTCACCTCGTGATCTGTACAATCTGGTCCAGACCTCAAAAGATGGAGAGAAATCATCATCTGCAGTTAGGTCTATATTGAAGAAGCAGAGTAGCTATGGTGAACTTGTATATTCAGTATATATACAGAGTAACACTAATGTAGACCATGATTTTTTTTGTACCTGCTTTCTGTTATTGCTTTCCATTCCATTGCACTCGGTGTTTCTCTTTTCCCAATCATAATTCTTTAAATAAAAAAAAATTTAATTATCCCAAAGTTTCTGTGCCCATTTAACATGGCTCCCTTCTAAAATTTTATTCTGTTCTCTTCCAGGTATTTACTGGCTCTGTAGTTGAACGAATACCTGTGCCGTCAACCGAGTCATCAAAAGTGCTGCCAAAATCTTCATTACTAGAACCATCAAATCAACCCCCAGCGACTAAAAGAGTTTCAAAATTCAAAGCAGCTCGTCAAGCAAAGCGATAGCAGCAGCTAAAAGTATTACCTTCCTTAGTTCTCAACCTTTCTCAAATTGGGGTTCATTCTATAAATCTCTCAAAGTGTAACCACCTCAGCCTCACCATGTTTGGGGCTGAGGTGAAGATTTGGAAATGACACCGCCAGATCAGTGGCGTAATGATGAGACACAGGGCCTGGGGCGTGAAAGGGAATTTACATGGTATAAAAGAAGTATTGTCATGTGAGTTTTCCATGACGTTCTTGAGTTAAAAACCAGCAATTACATTGTTTTAATTTGTTAGTTTTAGGCGTCATCTACTAGACTGTAATGCCATAGCTCTGTTAGGAGTGCTGTGCAACAGTAGTTGAAGGGGCCCCTCTGTCAAATGGGGGATGCAAGATCCCATAGGTTTTATGCCACTGCTGTAGGTGCTCAGAAATGGCACTCTAATACATAACTATGCCTTTTTTTTGTTTTGTTTTTAATATTCATTTGACATTAAGGAGTTTTAATTAACAAAAATATTTTAACTCCACACCCACTAAAGACAAACATAAACCCTTTTTATGGGATACAGTATACAATACTGTATAGTTTTTTTGTTGTTACTGGAATACATTTTCTGTCTACTCTAATAAAAAACCTTAAATAACATAAAATGCCAGTGTTGTGTTTCTTGTTCTTATAATTTGAATCAATACAAGAAATAATTAATATTTCATGACTTTAAAATACTTCCATCAGCTTCACAAGAGCATCAGACATGCATATATTCTCAGATGAGAAACCAACTCATAAGGTACTATTGGGAAATATCTGAAAATGAACTATTTTGGATGGATGGATGGATGGATGGATGGATGGATTTATTCGGTGTAAACACCAAGGATAACCCACGAAAGTCTGAAGAAGACTTATTTCCAGTGGAGTCCTTCTGGTGGTGATTGGGCACTACACTGGGAGACAATCTTCTGTTCTTTTCCAAATAGTGTACTGCGTAATTTAACTTGCACACAGGCCATAATGCACACAAGAGCAACGGCTTAAACTTTTTATCCGAAAGACGTTGCGCTATCATAACTTGCATTTCAGCCCTTTAACTGAAACACAATGAGAGCAACGATGGGAATTAAACCAGGGACCTAGAGATCTCCAGTTTAGCAGACTGAGCTAAGCTGCTCTTGGCCGATTGTGTCAGTGAATCGGACAATTCACACAATTTGAAACTTTTATGGACTGTAGTCCAGTTGTTGAGAAACAAGGAATGTTAATTAATATTAAAAATATACCTAAATTAGTCATGCCATACACTATGCATGTACAATATTGAAGTGTGAACTATTAAGCAGTCAGGTTTTGAGTACTACACAATAGGAAATTGAAGACGAAGGAACCATTACTTCCTTGAAAAAATTGCTTTATAAGCCATTTGTGACGTTCATCACCTACGTCATCAAACTACTAGATGTAGAGCGGTTGCTAAATATTCTTAAAACTGCTCGTTACGGTCGACAGCTGCTTAGTGATTACTGTACATGTGCATTACCTTGGCCTAGCAAGGAAATATTCCATTGCGATGTACTGTAAAATCCCCCACTTTAAGCTTTTTGCACACAAGATGCAAACAATCGGAATCACTTCAGTATATCGAATTAATCAGTGAGTGCAAATGAAAGCGATGATGCCACCACCGACTTCTAAAATGTAAATATTAAAGCTGATACCAACTCTTTTTAAATGGACCCCTTGATTGGTGGTTTAGGTGTGTGAAATTTAATGATAGACACCTAGATGCCTGGAAATGGCACTTTTAAGAGTATAATAATGCTTCTTCAAAGCAGTGTTCTCCAAACAAATGACTGGATCCATCAATGATAGGGAGTCTTATGCCCCTGGCTCCCCGGTGACACTTCCACTGTAATGCATAATAATCAAGAATAATCAACTTGCTGTTTTCATTAAAAATGAACTTTATTGACACAATTCTCAAAATATCAGGACAGCCTGCTTTAATCACACACACACACACACGACATCATAAAACAATTTAACATTTTTGGTACTTATTTAAAGACAGATCAGTAATCAATGAAATTAATCAAACTACCTAATAGTAAAATATAAACTGATATGTATTTACTGTCTCATTCAGAACGAGAAATATCCTTGATTAATTCATATAAAAAAAAAAATGATTTAGTACTAAGGCTAAAAAAGTCTTTAAAATTACTAGATTGATCAGCAAAAATGATCCAATATTCCGTAACCCTTTAAAAATGAGGTTACACATTTCATTGGCAATAGAAAATTAACCAGTTAACTGGCAGTGAATTTAAAATAGTACTTTAAAAAATTTCAATAGTTGAATATAAAATATACAGACAATAATGCTTAATACAGTTTAAATACAAATTAATAAATATAATAATAATGCTCTGGAGTTTGCGGAGTGAAATTTTTTTTACATGCCATGTCTATTCACTGGAGTAAACACTTGAATTACCTACAATTACTAACTTTTTTTGATTATCGTTAATTTTAATTAAGTGAATTCATTTACCAGAACTACCCCCTTTACCAACCTGTACTGCAAGATTATTCAATATAATGTATCATACAAGTATGTCATGAAATAAAAAAAAAAATACAACTTGAAAATAAAATTCTATGATCTCTGTATTAATTGAGTCAGAGCATGCTTATCACCCCAAACAGCAAATATATATTCACTATGCAACAAAACATCAATCCACTAAATTGATAACCATTTCTTTTTCAAGGGATTGATGTATAGTTGTATAGAGAATATTAGTTCAATCCCATAAAATTGAAACTGTTTCAGTAACAACTTCCTAATTAAGATACATAAAAATAATATTACAGAACAGTATAATTAACTGAAATTTACATTGAGAAAAAAAATATATTACATAATTAAAGTGTGAATAAATAAATGGAGTAGAATATTCCATTGATTACACAGTGGTTAACTTAATTCTGGTAAATTAATTACTACAGAAAAAGTGTTAATAACATTTAGTACTGCAACACAAATAATGATTTTTGCATAATAATTGCATAACTGTATAATTAAGCATTGAATATACTGTGTAGCTAACACCATTTAAGTAGATATTGAGGGTATTATTTCATGCACAAGTATGAAAAACAGAAAGCCAAATTAGTAAAATCTTAGTTTGTTATTTTCAATAGGTTACACTACAAAAATTAACAAATATCTCGATTAACTATACAGTAATGTTTTTAAAAGCTCATTACAAGAAACCCGTTTTTTAAAATTTTATTTTTATTCTATTCTGCAAACAAGCTAAAATAAAACAATTTATGTACACCCTAAGTATGAAGATTATTTGAGATATATTAATAGAATTAAATAATTTTCTAAAGACATATGTAACAAAATACAAGTCACAATACAAATATCTTCACCAAACCATATGAACAAATTCCACTAAAAGAAAAAAAAATAAACATCTAAGTATACAGTTTTTGAATACAATACTATACTTGCGTAAATAACTTCAGCCTTGTATTTGGGACGGATCAGTCCAGTTGCTATTTCCTCGACCACAAGGGAAGGTTTGCAGGCCCTAAAATTGAATTAAGAGTTGCTCCTTTAGATCAGACTTTGAACAGATTTTGAACTAAGTTTGCTTAATGTTTCTAACAGGACACACCTTTGTTCCTTCAGTGGATCGGTAGTCCTACAAATATTGTACCTGCTACCGTGCTACGTTGTCTTTGCATAGTTTTTTTTTTAGCACAATGTTGTGACATCAAACAGTAGTCCAGATTTACAATCTATTTGGAGCAATTTCCATATCCTCCATGTGATGTTAGCTCTCCTGAAATTCATACTCCCAATGACAGCATTTTCACAATCGCCATTCACAAACCCATGTTTGGTAAGACATCTAACAGTTCAGATTTACAATCTATTTGGAGCAACTTCCATACACTCCATGTGATGTTGGCTCTCCTGAAATTCATAGTTCCAATAACGGAATTTTTCGCAATCGCCATTTACAAACCCATGTTTTGGTAAGACATCTAATAGTTCAGGTTTACAATCTATTTGGAGAAACTTCCATATACTTCATGTGATGTCGGCTTTCATGAAATTCATTGTCCCAATGACGGCATTTCATGATCGTCAGTCACAAACCCGTGTTCGGTAATTAAATATTCTGTTTGGTTTCCGGGAATATCCATCATGCCACGTATGCAGCATGCGTCTTCTTACTACTTTGTGGCGGTGTTAAGATACCTTCCATAAACACAGGACTGTTGTTATTTAATAAATTATGTGTGTCTTTGGCTACTTCTTGTGCTTTATCCTATGAGAGGGAAAAAAAGAAGAAAAAAAGCACAATTATACAACAAGAACAAGTCTTGGTGTTTCACATAGAAGCATATTAACAGACTAGTAAAACAATACTAAAGTCATCAATGGATGGATTAAAATCTTAAGCCAGAATTAAGATCAATTTAAACAAAAGTTTATAAAAGTAGAATGAATACAAGGTCAAACTCAACCTTCCCATTAAAATGACTACAATGAGGTGTGAACATTACAAAATAAAGGCAAGAATGATGGATAGTAGCTTGCAGTTGTAATCATCATTATACTTATTCTCAAGACCATTTCCATTTATAGTAAATCCATCCACATAGTAAGTAAAAATCGTGGGTTCCTTTTCTAATAATAATGAGTATGAACTTTCGTGTATATATTCACGTATACGACAAGGCACAAAATAGCAAATTACGTTCGAAAAACAGGGGGGTCGTCTTATAAGTACGGCAATTTTAGATTTTTAAAATAATGTTTGTCTTTGTGTGGATCGTCTGTTACGTGAAATTACTACTGCAAGAAGATAATCCGGACCGAGCTTGGTTTTCATACAATCGCTACACACTATCGTCGACAGCTTTCGGTGATGCTACGCAGTACAACGATTGCAATGAAAACACTGTTGTGTTGTGAAAACTTTTTAAAGAAAAACTGGCTTAACTTACCAATAATGTTAGATCATTGACATGTGTTTGGATGTTGTGTGCATCATCGTTCATTATACTCGGGAACATCTTTAATTTCGCTAGGCCAGCTTCACGGATTGTTATCGCAAAACTTGACATCCATTGCACACACTTAGCTATATCATCCCATCGAAGACCTATAGAAAAAAAATTTAATTCACATTATACAAAAAAGTTGATTTCAACAACAGATTGAGTGAATTTCTTTCTTTAAGTAAGCAATGGATTATTTACCACTACTTTTTAGCAAAATAGTAAACAATTTCATCAATAAATAATTTCAAATCACAGATATGAAACTAACAATTTTATGTTACTACTTCTTGCTTGGCAGTGGTTTGTCTATGGATGGCTGTTTCCCAAAACATTCATTGGCTGAATTTGGGCTTGACGATCACACCAACCCAAGTTTTAAAACACAAACTCCTGTTTTGTTTTTTTTCTTATCGTCAAGCGTTGAATGTTCCAAGAGCACTGGCAGTCGTGGACACCAGCACAAAAGAAGCTTTCAGTGTTAAATTATCCCGTCCAATGCCAGGGCAGCAAGAATGCAAGTTTATGTCCACACCTGTCATACCATGATTGTATTGCAAATAAACTCGCTGGCAGTGTGCCAAAACATGAACTCTCACCCTGGAGGTTCAGGGAAGAACTCGGAAATAATGACATAAAAATAACCACCACATGTTTGTTCATGTTTCACTACAGTTATTGTAAATGATTTTGATCATGGGTGCACCCCTTATGCCTTGGCGTATAGGATAGAACTAAGAAAAAAGGCTTGGCAGTCATGCATGTCATGAAAAAGCAGGCCTGAGAGCAATACATATTTCCTGGTATGTAACTTACTTGTTACTCGATAGGTAAGCTGCTCGGAAGACATATGATAGAATGCTGAAGCTGCTATAGTACTATTATGAAACTGCAGTGAGGTAATATCCAAGGTACATAAATCAATTAACTAAACAAGAAAAAGAAAACAGAAAATTTTGAATGAACATCATGGTTATTATGTTTCATACAGGAGTGTCCAGCAGGGAGGGGACCCCAGTTTGGGAGAATCTAAATTCTTCAGGGATAAAAAAATTGTATGTATTTTTAATAAATTTATACTCTGAATTTTATTAAATAAGACTTTAAAACTCATACATTTTAATAGTTTTTGATGGCAACGCCACGCACCCCCTTCCCGAGGATTTCGAGCGACGCCCGACTGCACCCACTTATTCTCCCCTGTTGGTGACATTTCCCCCTCTACCCGGCTGGGCAAATCCTGGCGCCATCCCTGGTTCATAATACATTTCAATGGTTGCTTTACGAGTTCAATGAGTGAAAAGAAACATTTCATATTATGTGGTCCAAAAAATCAATAAAACTGACAAAACATGACAAAGATAGAGGAAATAATAATTCAACTGGCCTACAGGATTGCCAAAAAGCGAGCTAATCACTCTCTAATGGCTGCCCGATGCCAATGAGAACAAGAATTTTTGAATCTATATAATCAGTTTACAGCATATAACATCTCTAATGATGTCTAAACACGATAATTTATATAAAAATAAGAGTATTCATTTAAATTAGACATACCTGAGCTATTTGAACAAATGCTGATGCTGAGTAGTTTGGGAAGACAAAGTTACAATTATTCTGAATAATTTCTTCTACATTGCACAACTGTAAGTAAGTGTTCAACCACGTGTTGGCAGTTATTGGAGTTAAGTCCCAATTCAATGCCTGTTAAAAAAACAACAACAAATGTTTATTGAAACTCCCGCTGTGCAAATCGCTTGTGTCCTTGTGCAAGGCACTATATCTACGGTTGTCTCTCTCCACCCAGGAGTACAAGTGGTTACCTGGTAGATTTGACCACAACTGCACTGATTACTAGCTGCAATATTATGGAATTCTCCCTAGGGAACAGAGTATGTGTTTCATACGTGTTTGATACCAACCGGGTAGTAATGTGAAGCGCTTAAAGGCTTTATGCAGGAAGCGCTATATAAGACCGACATATTATTGTCATGACGTTTAAATAATTTAACAAAAAAACCTCACCTTTAACATAATTAATTCTTGATCTAGTATTTCAGATTCTGTACAAGCGCCATCTGTCACATAGGCAAACTCACTAAGTTTAGGAGGATAGATTTCCTGTTAAAAAGAGTAAAAGATTTTTATATGCTTAAATTAAACTATATAAACAAAATTCAAGTACTTATATTTAAAAACACACTATATACTTGCACTACCACCATCCTGGTGTGAGTTGCAAGAATGTTGCCATAGAGTAGGTGGTGGGCATAAGTTAGGTTGGAGGGCCTGAGTGTAATTTTGATAACGCAGAGGGCCGAACCCAAACATTCACATTTCTAGAATAACCTTCATGCACTACTTTTATACATGGATGGACAGATAGATTTATTCAATGTAAACACCAAGGATACCCATGAAAGTCTGAAGAAGATTTATTTCCAGTGGGGTCCTTCTGGTGGTGATTGAGCAGTACATCGGGAGACAATCCAATACTCTTTTCTGAGGAGTGTACTGCAATCTTTAATGTGCACATTACCACATTGCACACAGGACCAACGGCTTAAACGTCTCATTTGAAAGACGGTGCGCTATCGTAACTTACATTCAGCCCTCCGACTGGGATACGTAGAGAGCAGTGGTGGGAACTGACCCAGGAACCAAGGGATCGCCACGGTTCAGTGCACACACAGTGGCTACCACCAGTTTAGCTGAATGAGCTAATCATCTTTATGGTCAGTTTTATGCCGAGCGGTAACAAAATTTGGGTAGCCAAAGATGATAGGCAGGCAAAACACATAGGGCCACAATAAAATTCTGTCAGGCCCACTATGCCAACCTGTGCTACACACGTAGCACTTTATAATCTATTGTACTTAAGAATGTATGATACAACTAAACTAAATGTGAAAGGCATGATGTCTTACCTCTAATTTGGCAGCAATGAATAACGCTGTGATTCCTATAAGTTGAAGCTTGTTCTTTGGAATATTGCTTTTAACTGACAAAAACCTATCCACAAAATCCATGGATAGATAATAGGTTTCTCGATGTAATTTGTAAACTTCACTAACCTGTGTTGGGAACATTGAAGAAAAATTAATAGAAGATGGTAATGGTAATGGTTGGAGACTTCTATAGCACATAGTACATGGTCTCTATGTGCAGTAACACAAGAAAATCAAGGGCCGAATTTTGCACAAATTTGAATTCGTTTTTGAGGTATCATCCATGCAAATAAAATACTTTACAATAAACAAAATCTTTGATACAGTGCACACCGCTAAGACATGCTCAGCAAGAAGTGGACCTATACCAACAACTGCCTAAGAGCCACAACAAAGAATAGAGAATATAGGTGACGTCATTTCATGGATTTAACCTTCCGGAAAAAGTCAGTCCCGCGTCTTTTTAACCAATCAAAAGATTGAATTACCTTGAACTCATTTCATTTCCTAGGCACCGTGCATTGAAAAAAAAAAACGAGTGGAAAAAAATGCAGACAGAAAAATTCCAACGATGAGTGACGAAATGGGATGGATAACCATTGTCACGTAATAAGATAAGGGAATGGTTGAGATCAGTGAGTGATGGTGACACATGAAATCCACACTATGATAACCTACCTCTATCAACCAGTCTAACAGTATTGCTCGCATGCGCGTCTCAAGATGAGGATGCCGATGTAAGTAATCTGTGTCGCACTTGTCTAAATACGTGTTCTCCTGCTCAAGCATGAATCGCCACACGTCCCGGTGATCCGCCCAGTTCAAAGTCGGTAATGGCGACGACCTTAAGGTGGATGGTGTTGGGAAGAGGTTCTTAAATCGAAATATCGAGCTGTTTTCGTTGTTGAAATCCGTCGGCGTTGAAGGAGGTTGAAATTGTGTAGGGATTATTGTACTAGTTGGTATTCCTGTGGTTTGTGAGATTGGAATCCAGCAATTCTAATACAAAATACAAGTTACAAGTTTAATACATATTTTGTTTTTGAATTCTGTATTTGCAATGAAATCAAAAGTCACAATACATAATGTAGTTCAGTATTATAGCAGACAAGACCTAAGTCTTTTACTCTGGAACACACAGACGCCATGGTAACTGCGTGTACACGGTAGTCCGGGTTACTGCACCTTCCTCCTCCCCTTCGCGTCTGTTTCTAGTGTAGAAGTCGCTATAAAAGTACATGACCATTGACCATAATATGCACAACCAAAATGCATTCAATCCCACATCCTAACAGGCACCCGTTTATACTGCTGGGTTGAGAAAAAGATAGGTGAAGTACCCTGCCCAAGGACACAAGCAAAATTCACTACGAGTTTCAAACCAACCATTCCCACAAGTAGGTGGGGTAGATTTAATGGACCTTTTCAGAGTGCCAATCAAACTTAACAGAACTACCAGAACAGGACTAGGAATAAGCATGTGTCCTTATAATAAACATGTGTTGTTCGACAAAAACACACGTTTACATACGTTTACACTACTCTTTTGTGGGACCTTATAAGCCACATTAGGGAGCTTTCGATTGCACAACGACGGTAAAACGTAAAATGTAATGACGTCACCAAAAGTCATCTGCGCATGTGAGAATGTTAAGTTCTCCTCGGCGCATGCATTCTAGGATGCAATTTGGCCAAATCTACATATGCAGAGAACTTCGCTTCGTCGAACAAATCAAAAGTTCCCTAATATTTAAGGCCTAGAGCTTAGCAAAAAGGATGGCGATTCGAGTGGCCGAGCGGTAAGACAGGGGCGCCGCTAGCTACAGCCTAAACATCGGCGCTGGTTCCAGCCGCTCCTCGCCCATGATTCGGTTGGTCTTCTCAGATAAGGATGGAGGTCCAGTGTATACATCTGAACCCATTGCATCTTTCGGAAGTTTGATGGTGCCCCGATGTTATGGTTCATTTCAGCCCCTGTTGTTGTGGAATGATGTGAACATGTATCTACCAATTAGCGCCTCTTTACAGCTGCTAGGTAGTCACCAACCACCGCCATACGCAATTCAGCACAATGACGCTGCAAGTTATGGGTTATTCTCCTACCCTTTACCTTTATGACTGTTGTAGACCTAACTGAATGTTTGTATTAATTGACTATGAGCCAAGATTGATTAAACTGTGAAAGGTATGGAAGAGTACCTTTCCTAACTTTTTTATCATTATTTATATTTGAAAGTATTTTTCTTGTGTTATTAATTAGTAAATAGTCTAATCCCAATACCTGTATTTGGAATTGTTGCCTCCTTTTTTGAATTTCCATGTTTCTGATGTCCTCCTAAACAATGAAAAAACATTAAAAACAACATTAGTGTTAATGGTGTTATACATATAAAACAATTCAATTCGAATACGTATGGTGCAAAATACGAAAAAAAACTTTAAAGTTGTGGTAATGTAGTTCCGTCTGAAAGTGGCTTTCGTATCAAAACTGTTGTTTTACATGTGCTCACCTCACCAATCATGTCCTTTGCTTTACGCTTTCGACTACAAATTTTAAAGGACTCTTCCTCTTCCTTGGTGCCGGGTGCCTGCACTGCTTTCTGCTGCTTGGCTTGCAGTCTTCCACTGATGAAAGCAAACAGAATATAGGTGTGATAGCAACTATGCAGTGTATGTTTCATGCAGTTCAACAAGTCAACTATGATTTGTTATGTTGCATACTTGTTCAGAGTAAGGAGAGACTTCTTTTATAGCTTGTTTTGCGAACTTAATTTTTTTAAGATCGTTAGAGGAAGGTGAAAAAAAAAAATAATATACAAATTTGTTTCTCTTATTTAGCAAATGGTTTTGCCAAAAACACCCTGAAAGAGGAGAAAATAAAAATAAAATTGTTTATTGTTGAATGTAAACAGTGTAGTAATGGGATTGTTAAATGCTTTAAATTTATGTAATTGGGAAGAAATATATTTTTGCGAACCCTAATTCGCCAAAAATAAAATTTTATTATTTGAAATAATCATTATTGGCAGGGGGGCGGGTTCATTAAACAAGGTATAAAGAAGTCATGCCTTATTCTGCATACTTGTATAAGGTATAATCTTACATTTTAGGCTTTTGTGGCTACATAATATAATAGCTACACCTACCTCCTCCTTGACATTCTATTCTTTCACAATATTGAGTATAAATCTGGAAAACAGATAAAGTACAGATTGAATATCAACATATTTGCTACATTTAGAAACATTATTGTAAAAGCCAGACCGTTTCTGAATATGAACTGCTTTTTATGTCCTTTGTATAATATTTATGGAATTTAACTCTTTAATCAAATATTATCATGCAACCCAATCAGAGGGATTGGTTTCATCTAATAAAATGAATGCAGACTGCTTTAAGCAGTAAAGGCTCTGAGAATTTAAAATACTTAGCCATCAACTGAGAAGAAAACACAATTCATATAAACTCTGTTCATTTTGAAAGAATTAATAAAGTTTTAAATTAATAAGTCACATATAAAAACAATCTTCACATATTTTACGGTATGAAAATTAATATTCATTAACTGGATGTACTTATGGTGGGTGGAGGTGGGCAGAGACCCCCCGCCTTGAAGTTTTCCACCCAGTCTAAAGCCAGTTTCATGGCCCTCCACCTAACTTTATTAACCCTCTTGCACATCCTTATAATTTACTCTTATTATTTAGAGTTTACCAATGTTACTTAGGCTATAACCACCCACCCTTAAAATGTCTACAATGTCTACCTTAGTTTTAACCCTGGATAATCCATTCTAATATTAATAACTGAAATAAAAAAAGGACTTCAGTTTTTCATTCTTTTTCTGTCATTAATTGTAATTATAATACTCTAATTATAATACATTTATAATTAAATCTTTACTAAAACTATACATTTTTGACTACTTTTTCTTTTATAAACATTTTTTTTGAGCAGTAAACATTACAATCAACTGTGTAATTTGCAAAGATAATAGCCATACACGAAATTCCACATTTTATTTTAATGTTAGTAACGGGGTATGTTATCTATGAGTGCCTGTTCAAAGGACACATTTTGAAGTTAAGGTCATACACTTTGACAAAGTGCGTGTGAGAGGTAAACCAAACAAGAGAATATTCTCTTGTTTGGTATAATATTTATAATATTATTTTTTTCTTAAAATTTACTACCTGAATTTACATCACCACATACTATCAGTCATTCTTTATATACAAGTATGTGATGCAATCTCAGGCTGAATGGTGTCCTCATGTACTTTCTACAGTAAACACTCATATTATTATATTTGTCAATCTTTCCTTTAAATTTTCTCCTCCACATTAGATAGAAGAACCATTTGTAAATATGGAAATAAAATGATACTTTTACCAGGTTTTTACTATTGTATGTATATTTACCGGCTAAAACTAGAATTTGCCCATCTTTAAGATTAGGTTTGGAGTGCGCAAAAAAAAAAAGGGCTATTTTAATTAATAGGTGTACTACCGGCTGAATAAACACAATCTTCAAAAAAATTATTGGAGATGTGTAGCTTAGTGGTAAAGATGCTTGTCTTATTCTAAAGACTCAGGCTTCAAACCCTGCGAAACAGAGGATGTTTTTTCATGACTACAAAAACTCCACTCTGTAGTATAAGCCTCATTAATGAGACCTTGCCAAATTCACATGTACACGACATGTCAAATTTTAATCTTTTACAAGCTATAAACATTTGATTCTCCCAAGATATTGCTACCGAGAAAATCATTTTGACACGCAAACATGTATTAATAACAATCTGAAATTCACATAGGCTCATAATAACAGGTAAAGATTGCTAGATATCACAGGGGAAATCTAGGCACATGAAAATGCTTTCACACACATATAGCGAATCCTAAAAATTTGTTTCAAGTTGTACAGTATATGTGAATTGTGGTATTTTAAATGTTAATTAAAGTAGGCCTATCTTGTGCATAATTTTGATGTTTGTTTTACAAAAAAGGGATTCCACCTATAATTTGGATAGTAATACATACAATGAGCAATTTTTTCTCTGCGAGATCTCAGGCTGAATGGTGTCCTCATGTACTTTCTACAGTAAACACTCATATTATTATATTTGTCAATCTTTCCTTTAAATTTTCTCCTCCACATTAGATAGAAGAACCATTTGTAAATATGGAAATAAAATGATACTTTTACCAGGTTTTTACTATTGTATGTATATTTACCGGCTAAAACTAGAATTTGCCCATCTTTAAGATTAGGTTTGGAGTGCGCAAAAAAAAAAAGGGCTATTTTAATTAATAGGTGTACTACCGGCTGAATAAACACAATCTTCAAAAAAATTATTGGAGCTGTGTAGCTTAGTGGTTAAGATGCTTGTCTTATTCTAAAGACTCAGGCTTCAAACCCTGCGAAACAGAGGATGTTTTTTCATGACTACAAAAACTCCACTCTGTAGTATAAGCCTCATTAATGAGACCTTGCCAAATTCACATGTACACGACATGTCAAATTTTAATCTTTTACAAGCTATAAACATTTGATTCTCCCAAGATAATGCTACCGAGAAAATCATTTTCACACGCAAACATGTATTAACAACAATCTAAAATTTACATACAGGTAAAGATTGCTAGATATCACAGGGGAAATCTAGGCACATGAAAATGCTTTCACACACATATAGCGAATCCTAATAATTTGTTTCAAGTTGTACAGTATATGTGAATTGTGGTATATTTAAATGTTAATTAAAGTAGGCCTATCTTGTGCATAATTTTGATGTTTGTTTTACATTAAAATTGATTTCACCTATAATTTAGATAGTAATACATACAATGAGCAATTTTTTCCCTGCGAGCCTAATTAATGAAAAATATAAGGAAGTGATCCGAGAATGACAACTCAGGGTAGAGTGAAAAACTTAGTGCAGCGAATCGACTTTGGGGGAAAACCTGATTGGTGACCCAAGGGCCACTCATTGATTGTGGACGTGGTTCATGCTATGTGTAGAATGCAAGTATTTTAATGAATGGCATATAAATATAAAGGGCACATGGATTATTAGATTATCACTCTTTAAAAAAAAAAGTGATGAGGGCGGGTTCTTTTTTTTTTTTTAATCGGAACAATAGAATATTGCTTCTTTCTAATTGATGAGGAATATTGTAAAAAAAAAACTGGTTTAATTTTATTGTTTTTTAAAGAAAACGTATTTCTAGTCATGAAATTGCATTGGTTTTATTTAAGCTGTTAAAAAATGTTGCAGTAAAAAAAAATTGTTTTTTTTTTTAATTCCCTCATCAATATTTTTCAAAATTTTTTATGCAGATGGAGTGATAATCTAAACATTTTTTCTATGTGCCCTACATAATTGATTTTAAAAATATAACCGCTCTAGAAAAAAAATATAAACATAAAAATAAAAACTAAACAATGACCGAGTTTGGACCACGCCACGGTGTTAGCTGTGGTGGTAGATTATAAAATGAAAAAAACACATAAATAATATGTTCAGGGACATGAACATAAATTTCTCTTTTCTTGTCTTACCAGCAACTTGCTTGGGCTTGAACTAAGTTTTCAACAAAATAACTTCACATTGATTATTGAATGCACTAAGTGACACTGTAAACTCCACCCAGGCTAGCTAGGCTTGCCTTTAGTTAGTAGTAGGGCCAAACAAACCCTACCAAATAATTTGCTACAGAATGAGTAACTTGGCAAATATATTCTAATATATATTAAAGAACAATCAGAAGATGATTTTACTCAAAATTTGATCTCAGAGGAAGCATTGATCTGAGACAAAGAGTAGATAGGAAGCTTGATACCGGTAAAATTGACTGTTTTGATTAACAAGCTATCACCGCCAATCTTCAACAGCCCTGGGTGTACTGTTGTTTGCTCGATAAAATTCTACATTCAAATCCAATATCACGAAATCTACTTATCTGAAATGCGTATAATAATAATCAATTAACAAAATGCCTAAGTATTAGGGCTAACTTTACACTAAAAACAGAGAAACTTACATTTATCTGACGTCCTTTCTAACCGATGCCACCTCAACAGATCCCGCCAGCGCCAATAGAGCTAAGCTAAACAACGCAGCTGTGTCTGCGCATCAGCTGCACAGTCAGCCGTAGGATGGCGTATTTTGCCGCGAAAACACTTGCATAAACATCGTTTGTTTAAACGAAATATACATTAATTTCACAATTTAACACCTACATATATTTTACATAATATCTAGGAAGAGATATATTTCACCGAAAGTCCAATATTATGGGATTTGGTGATAAAAAATACAGCCTTTGTTTACCGTCCTCTTTCGCGGGCGCGCTTGATTGAGTTCAAAATAAAATACAAATTGATCAAATATTCAAAGTCATTTTTTGCAGAAAACACACATTTATTAAATAATTTGAAATATAAAATGCAATATAACAACAATGGAAGTATCAACAAACACCTTACCAAAAATTAATTCCGCTTAACTGATGAATTTCAGTAACTTTAGTATCACTAACTTCATACTTGAATTTACTTCCCGCCTGCCGGTTGAATGGTTCACTGACTGCTAGAAGATATTTGTAACAGGACAGCTGATTGGTCAAAAAGTGACAACTGCATTTTGGGATGAAAAGCTATTGGTGAATAGAAGTAAAAAGTCCTTGAAGTTGCTTGAAGCAACGATAGATAAGAACGATCGATAGCTCTCTCTTTCGACATTATAACACCCAGTTAAATGTACCTAGGCAGGGAATACTAGTACGTTATATTACTGAACTGTTTTGTGTAGGCTATATCTAATAAAACGTGAAATTCAAAACATATTTTTATTTTACTTTGCAATGTTTTAGTAAGCCTAAACTAACATAAAAATGTTCTCTCTGCCATGACCAGTATTAGATTTTAATTATTTTTTTTCGATTTAAGATATTCTATATTTATATTTGTACAGTCATTTAATATTATTGTCGTTTGTAGGCCTATTCAATTAATTTATTATATTTGCACATCAATAAATATAATTATATAATAAAATACACGTCACATGATCGAAATATTTAAAAAAGAAAAAAAAAACACTTCATTTAAAACACACACAAATTCATTTTGATCAGTTCCTAAATAATTCTTTAATTTAATATTTTTTAAATTATTTAAAAAAATATTTAGGCCAAAATACAAACATTTTCATTGAATGAAAATATTCAGATACCTGAATCAGAGAAATTTCTGAACTACTCTTTATTTCTGTATTCGTGACTGCCGGTATATTAAATAGGCATAGGCCTAGTTTACGAACAATTTTAGCGGTATCTATATTTATTTGTTGTTTTATGTGATAGTTTCTTCCGGTAAAATTATTTTAAGTTTGTTATAAAATATAATTAGGAAGGGGTCTACTGCTGGCCCCATGAATCTGCCTAGAAATAAAATAAGATCGTCCGAATGAATTTTTGGAAACCTTCACAAATTCTTCGTGTCAGTGTTTAATTGATTATTTTTCATCCGTGTCGTAAAGCAAAATATGCGTCTAAAACAGCAATATTCAATGCATGGGACAAATCCAAAACAAAGCAGATTAGTGAGGGGCTCTTGGAATGTTCTTGATAGTTAATACCTAATTGATTTTCCTAAGTCTCATTCATTGACGAGGCTTTATGATTTTCTCAGTGACGGATCCATAGGATTGGCCCAGGGATGGACTTTAACAATCGAGCAAGACCACCAACAATAAGCCCGCTAAGAGTCCGCGCGGAAAAAAATTCTTCCAAATTTCCAATTTTCCGTGATTCCATTATTTTTCTCATTACAGCAGTAAACATCATACTGCTAATCATTGTGCCTTATGAAATACCTTCGACATAAGCATGTAGACTCGCATGTGAATTGTTATAAATGGCATTAAATTATATTTTAATTCTAATATTTTTTCAAAAATTTGTTAGATTCCCTTTCGTTTTTTTATATGGCCAGATGTATTAGGATTGCCACTTGATAGTGGCAATCCTCAGGTAGTAATGAACCTGATTGAATTAAAAAATCAGGAGGGTGGGGAAACAGAAAGGTGGGGAAACAAAAAGATACATTAAATTTAAATTTTGAGTCTGAACCATTACCGGCCACAGGCAAATCAATTGTTCCTCGTGGTGTGGTTGAGGTGGTATCGACCCCCCCCCCCCATATCTGTTGACCTTCTGACCTCCTGTATTTCGAATTCCAGGATCCTATTGTTTAATTTTTGTGGCGAATCATCTTCTATTATTGGTGGAATATCAACAATGAGTTGCTTTAAATTTTACAAAAAGATAAAAGAAAATAACATTCAAATTGTGTGTCTGATTGACAGTACAATTTTCGATCATCTAAGTGTCATAGAAATAAAAATCTCGTACCTCAGCACCAACAATGATGGGTTGAGGTGTCTTTTTTATTTCGAATTCCAGGATCCGCTACTGTTTAATGTTAATTAATTAATGGCACTCTCATAAGACTTAAAAATTTGAATATAATTTTCCTCATTTTCACAATTTTGTTATTATTTTCGAAAAATTCAGGCGGGGAGGGAGTGTCGGCTGCCCCTACTTAAATCCGCCACTGTTTATAGTATATTGTCCACAGACAAAACCTTTTATACTATTAATGCCTGCGGCACACCCATGGCACACCGCGTTATAGTTCTGAAAAGAACTGCTTTTGTTGAGAGAATGTCTCGACTTTTTGATTGAGTTGTTTCAATCAGGAGATACCTGCAGAGAATCCAAACAGGGAAATATATATTTTTGGATAGTGCGATTTGCTGCTGATTGGTGGAAAATAACAATAACTGATTTTATTTTTCCGTCTAGATGGTTTTGGCAAAACCATTTTTCTAAATTTAATGAGAAAACAACATCTTATTTTTATTTTTTTCCGCCCTCCAATCATTGAAAAACCTAAGTTCGCAAAAAAAAAAAAAAGTATATAAGAAGTCTCGCCTATGCGAATATTGGTCCACGACATGGCTTTCGTAGCACTAAAAGAAATTTAACTGGATTGAACATAGCAGTGAAAACGGATAAACTAATACAGTACCGTGCTCTGGGACTATCCCTATTCTGGGGACACCCCTATTATAGGGACGAGGACACAAGTTCTGAGTGGTGTGCCAAATTGGTCAGTACAGTCAGTAAATTTCAATCCCATAAGGTGACACTTTTTTTTTATCCATACCTATTATTTTTAATTGTATCACTCAACTACTGTATGGATTCAAAATAACAGTATTCAGGGGCGGATCCAGAGATGTCAAAAAAAAAGAGGGTGGGGAGGGGGGAGGTCGGAAGGGAGCCGAAAGTTGGGCCGATCGTGATAACAAAGTCTATGGGCCCCGTACAGCAACATGTTTAGGCCGCGATCCAAATCCAAATATTTAACGAATCGACCGAATATAAATATAATTATTATTGTGGTCAGGTTTGCCTGCTTTTAGTCACTATCTTGCGTTTATTGCTTCCCTACTTGATTTAATTTCTTTGGCATCTTTCTTCTTAATTTAAAGAAAGATGTCATTTAATAATAAAAATTATAAAAATAACTAGTCATACCTTGTTATTTTGCTTCGATATTTTGCACACTTTAAAGGTTTCAAAGGCTTATTTAATCGATTTTAAAGTCTACTAATATGTATAAAATAGGCCTAGGTTTTTCTCCCCAACGAATTATGGTTTTTCTCCACCATCTGGGTGGGGTTAGATGTGTATAAGAGACAGGGGGTAGAGGCGCAGCTTTCCCCGAAGGGGGAGGGGGCCTGGCGCCACCCCTGTTTCTTACTATTGAAACTGCATTACGATATTCGGAACTTTGTATATACAACTTTACCATTATCCTATTTGTAAGGCTGTTGTTTTTATCGCATACAGCTTAGTATTCTTATTCTCTAAATTAATCTTATAATAGAGTCTTGTAAGTTGCTGACTTTTTAACATTGTTTAAACTCGCAACTGAATGTTGTGCTTTTGCATCAGCAAATAGAGTATGTTAATAACATGATCAAAGTTAGTAATGTTGTGGCTTCACCACGCTCAGTTACAGAGCAGATAGTCTCGCTTTTCGAATCGTGGCTCTGAGATATGACAGGATGAGCTTAATAGTCATGTAGTCATTACAGAAGGATTTAAAAAAAAAAAACAAGAGAAAACGGTCGAAATGGACTTAACAACTACATTCACATTTTTATTAATTAACTGGAAAATATTCATGCCTGACGACATACATAAATTTCGTCGTGTTTTTCTAAAAAGTGCTTATTTTTTTACTCTCATTCTCCCATTTCAGGGCCCCACCCACCTAAAAAAAAAAAACCTGGCGTCCGGGGCACCCCCCCCCCTTGACCCCGTTAGCTATGCCACTGGTGCGAGAGATATCAGTGTTCACACTTCAATTACGCACTTTTTTTCTGTAGTGTCATGTTATACGTGTTTAAAAACACCGTTACATGATATTAACACACCAAGTAAAGGAGTTTTGTTAACACCAAAAAAAGTTATTCTGTACCATCTTTAGATTCAGAATAACCTCTTTTGGGAATTAACATTTGAATATAAGTGTACATTGACAGTACAATGACGTGTGTCACACCAAAAATGATCACTGATCCCTGGTAACTTGCTATTTAGCTTCGTCTTCAACACGAGAATACGGAACGATTGGAATCCAGCCTTTCGTTGTGGTCGAGAACGGCATTAGAAATTTTGTCGCAACCTGATACATATTTTTTCAACTTTTATCCAAAACGTTACTAATTATTCCTGTTTTAGTTAATCAGAACAGGAATGTATTCGCTTGTCAAGCTAACTCACATGCATTGTTTGTTAACATCAATGTTTTTTCCTGAAGCGATTGCACGACTCATTAAAAATTTCTTCGTGACCCAAACATTGGGTCGCGGCCCATAGGTTGCGGAACAGAGCTCTAGGGGGTCCGGGGGCATGCCCCTCGAAATTTCTGTGTTCTAGACGCCCGAAAATAACCTCTGAGGCCTTTTGGGCGATAAATTTTTTCTTTCTTTTAAAAATTATTGTTACAATTATTTATAACTCGTTTTTGTCAACTGAATAATATTGAATCTATGTTTTCCTTGTAATACTACGTGCCAAAACCTCTATTATAATATATTAATTGGGACAAATTCACTGTGTTGGTTAGTGTCCCCTTAATAGAGGTAGTCCTGTTCAGAAGACAAGATTAAGGGGACACTTTGGTAACGAAGGTGTCTCTAATATAGGCTTATGCTTAGCCAGCGAGCTGTCCAGCTGGCCGTGTTTTGAACGGCCAACAATTATTTAGGACGGCCACTTTTACCGTCCGTGACGGCTTGGCCGGCTTGGCCTAATCCTGTCTCTTATACACATCTAGATGTGTATAAGAGACAGCTCCAAGGAAATGCTTCGTTTAGCATTTAAATATCGGTTTGTATGCCAAGTGCACTGTGAAGGCCGTAAAAGAAGTGTTGTCATGGGAGTTGACATTACGAGTTAAAAAAAAAAAAACAAAAACAAAAAAAAAACAACATTCATGACAATGCAATCATCTGTTGTAGTGTGTTGGGTGACTTTTGCGGGCTGTGCTTCTTGGAGCCTCTTGAGGGGCCGCCAAGTCGTTACGCCGCTTTATGTATCGTTCCAGGAAAGAGAGTCAACATTTATTTTCACGTCGTTTTTACGAGTAACACAAATAATTTACACCCCTCCCTCTAAAAAAATTATTTCTAAATACCATGCTCGCGCGAATAATTAAAATAAAATATTTTAACTTTGGGGGACGCTTTCAAACTGGGCGCTTATAAAAACAGGGTGGAAATTCAGGGGCGCTTATGGTGGAAATAGGCCTGAAGAAAATTGAGGGGGACATTTGAAAAGCGAAGATAAATGGTTTTGGTGCAGAAAAGAGAGCATGGCTCCTGACACGAATGTGGTAAGTATGGATTATTGGCTTGCTAAAACTAAAAGGCGCTTATTCAATCTGGGCGTTTCGGTGAGTACGGTACTGCCGTTCCTGTGTGTACCCTTGACATACTTGACATATAGGCCTACTGTATTTTGTTGTGTAGGAGAGTCGGACCTTTTTAGTGATTAATTTGTAAAAAAAAATCATACGTCCTCATGTTCACAATTTAAATACATGTCTAAATTATGAGCCAACAAATCCATTCTATAAGTTTTTGTACGATAGGCGCCCTACTACAGTTATTCTATTGCATGCTTTTTTAAGTTTTAATTTCTGACAACCGAAGAGGGCGCCATAATCAAAACAAGCATGGTGTCCAAACTAGGGTGGGAGAGTGGTCAAATAAGCCGTATTTTACTCAAAGAGAAGGCATTGTCTTGGTTGTTCTGTAGGCCACTAAATTGCAGATTGATTTTGTGACCAAGCACGGTGTGGACACAGCCAAGGTAAGTATAAATGTACAGAGCACAAATTAAAAGGCATATTCACCATTCCTTCCCTGATTAGAAAGGTATCGTAACGTAAGTACAGTTCTTGGTTGGTAGACTAGACTCGCATACTAATAGGCTTATGCTTAGCCAGCGAGCTGTCCAGCTGGCCGTGTTTTGAACGGCCAACAATTATTTAGGACGGCCACTTTTACCGTCCGTGACGGCTTGGCCGGCTTGGCCTAATCAGCTCGGCCAGCCTAATTGGGCCTGATATACTTTTAGCAAATTCTTTATATTCTTCAAATTCACGTGTCCCCGAGTGGGCGTGGCCCGCTGCATGGATACAGCTTCAGTAAATCATCATTCATGGTGTTAAGTAATCATGTTATGATGTTTAATTAGTAAGTAATTGCAATTAGAAAGGTAATGTACATTATGTACAGCAGGGAGTTGTTATAGTCACTATAACAACTCCCTGGTTACAGTAACCTATATTATGTATGGAATATTAATCCATATTAATGAAATATAGAGGGCATAAAACTATATAAATGACTTTATTTACGCTGCCAACGACACATGAAAGTTTTAGAACCTTCTAAGAGCAATTGACACCCAGAACCTTGAGTTTACCAACTTTGTGTTTCCCTTGAATGTTGCTCCTACGTCATCATTAAAGTGAAGATATTTGGTTAAGTATTTATTATAGGTTGTGTCTCGACTATATTTATAGTTAACAAAATAGTTGATATTTAATGAAATGTTAAATTGAAAATTACAGGAAATAGCTTAGGCCTAGTTGAAAGGAATACTACGTTGTGAGAATTAATGTATGTTAAACATACGGTAACGTATGTTATTGTTGATATAGCGTGTAATACTTATAAACATCATTTAATAAAAACATGGGCAGTGGCTGATATATCTACTTTCTTTTACATATCCTACCATACACTGTTACAGTGATTTTCTATAGGAATACTATCATTCATGGAAATTATTCCTATTGCATATTCTTCTAATTTTTGTTTATGGTAACTAATATATATATTAGTAAAATAATAATATAATAATAATAATATACTGTAATATATTACAGTAAAATATTATGTGTACATTATAATTGCGAGTAAATTCATGAAAGCAAACGTTACACATTAAATAAATTTACCTAATCAACATTCTCTAAAATCAAATAGATATGATGACAACAAATATGTTTGCAAATCATCTTTATAATGTTCTATAGAGATAATTATATGACTAATCCTGATAACATAGGTTACAAAACTTTATCAAATTGAAAGAACGAGCAAAACTAGGGGCTTGACCACACATCATTAAAAAAAGAACATGTCAGTATTCTTCAATGATTTTTTTCCCTCAAAAACCATAGCTAAAATAAATATAAAAACAAATTAAGTGTTCTTGTTGATTCTACACAAAAATACCCATTTCATTTTATGATAATTTTGTAAATGTGCTCATTTTGAATGCGAGGTTATCATTTATTTTTACAAACATGTACTGTATATACTGTACTCACAGTTGAGAAGAGAAATTATAATTTTACTTGATTTTAGGTCAGCTAGTCCCTGTGACAAGTTCGGTGGTGTTTCTTCCAATAATTCCAGCGTCTATCGTGATTATTTAAGAAATTGAGATTATGTTGTAATTGATTTCTGAAAATGTTTCCTTTTCCTTGTTGGGGATTTGGTTTCAATCATGGATTGTTGTTGTATGATGAATGAATATCTTGGATGGCAATTTTAGTTACAGGAGAAGAGTTGTGAGAAGTAACGAAATGTGTCGAGAAAAAATTTGGGGTGGATCCAGGATCAGTGGCGGATTCAGGAATTCGAAATAGAGGTGGCCCAGGGATGGATCATGGTTGGGGCTGATCAGTGATGTATGGTTAGGGCACATAGAAAAAATTATTAGATTATCCCTCTTTAAAAAAAAATATTGATGGGGGAAGGCTTTTTTTTTTTTTTTTTTTTTAATCGGTACAATAAATGATTTCGCATTTGTTTTTATCGATGAGGGAGGGACTGTTTATATTTGGCCTGTACCCGGGCCTGTAATAGTAAATATTGTATAAAAACTGGTTTTAATTTTATAGTTTTTTAAAGAAAATGTATTTGAAGTCGCAAAATTGCATTGTTATTTTATGCTGTGGAAATAATTGATGCGGCAAAAAAAAAAATTTTTTTTTTATTCCTGAATTTTTGGCGTGGGCGGGAGTGATAATCAAATAAATTTTCTATTTGCCCTTTTTTTCTTTATTCAATTAGGCCTACAGAATGTCACCTCTAGATTTCCAGAAATTTCACCTCTAGATTGCCGGAAATGGCACTCTCTTGCTGGCAGACTTCAATTTGAATAATTTTTTTTTCTTCTCTTGAATTCGCCACTGATGTGGTTGGGGGTGGGGGGGGGTATAATATTGTATTCCTCCATGCTGAAACCTAACATTTGATTTCATACAGTACCGTATGTGGATCATCATCATGGTGGCGCCAGAAATTTGCGGACAAGGGGTCCGAAATGTTCGACGGAGGGGTCCAAACCAAAGAGCCTACAAAGCCTCGGTCGATGGCCTGGATTAAAAAATCCCTAGTATAGGCCATATGGGCCTAGTATAGGCCATATGGGCCTAGTATAGGCCATATGGGCCTAGTATTGTCCATATGGGCCTAGTATAGGCCATATGGGCCTAGTATAGGCCATATGACCTATACTAGGCCATATGGCCTATACTAGGCCCATATGGTGGCGCCAGAAATTTGCGGACAAGGGGTCCGAAATGTTCGACGGAGGGGTCCAAACCAAAGAGCCTACAAAGCCTCGGTCGATGGCCTGGATTAAAAAATCCCTAGTATAGGCCATATGGCCCTAGTATAGGCCATATGGGCCTAGTATAGGCCATATGGGCCTAGTATAGGCCATATGGGCCTAGTATAGGACATATGGGCCTATTATAGGCCATATGGGCCTAGTATAGGACATATGGGCCTAGTATAGGCCATATGGGCCTAGTATAGGCCATATGGGCCTAGTATAGGACATATGGGCCTAGTATAGGACATATGGGCCTAGTGGGGGCCTAGTATAGGCCATATGGGCCTAGTATAGGACATATGGGCCTAGTATAGGCCATATCGGCCTAGTATAGGCCATATGGGCCTAGTATAGGCCTATATGGTCCAAAATGTGCTTTTATACTACAATATTAGGGGATGGCAATCAAAATAATGTTATTTTTATAGGCAAATTTATTATTTTAGAAAATGTTTGATCCCATGGCCTAGTTATGCGTCAGACAACAGGGGGTTCCAGGCCTGTCTGGGGGAGGAAAATGTCTCCTGCCACTCCCCCCCCCCACCCCACTGGAACCACCACTGTTGTGTATTCCATTTCAAATTATAATTTAATATATTAATTCTAAGTCTAGTATGCTCTGTTTTATTTAGTACTGTGTAACTTATATCACCTAGATTTTGTTTTGTATGACCAATTGTGTAGTTTTTTTTTTGTGTAGAATTTGAGCGTGAGTGGTTTCTTTCATGACTCAGCATTATTTGGGTTAGCATTTTTTTGATAAATTTAGCTTTAAGTTTACCCAAACTTATCTTTATCAAGATAATTTTGTAGTTTACCTTTATGTCATGCATTGGGTTTGGTAGTAGTTCGATAAATGATGCTTTTAAAAAAGCTTTTATGAACAATGAAAGTATAAGTTGGTGGTTTAGAAGGATCAATTTTGAGGCCTCTATTTTTCTTCTTTTTATTAATAATGATCTTCCTAAATTTGTTTGAAAAAATATTTGCAGATGATCCCACATATATTACTGATAAAATTAGTTTATTATTTATTTAATAATTTAGGCACACAATACATGCGGCAAGGATTGTCAATAGCGAATATTAGCACACTCTCCTACTTGTGACAATCCCTTGCACAAGACAAACACACACACACACAATGCACAAACTAAATCTCAATATGAGGTTTAGGGAGTGGAGTTGTTTTTGTCATGAGAACAGATTCTGTAACACAGATGACAGGAATTGAACCCAGGACCCTGGAATTGGAAGGCAAGAATTTTAACCACAAAGCTATATTCAACCCCATTACCACCAAAATTTAACACCTAGTGTACCTTAGCCATGGAAGTATGGTTTCCCTCTGATGACATGGGTGTGGTTGATAAACTAATATTTTCATCCAAATCTTAAATTATTTAAAATCCCTTTTTTTTTAATAATTCAGTTTTCTTATTTTTAAAAGCCATTTTTAACCTTTCTTTCATTTTATTATTTATTTTATTACCACTGATACCAGTATTTCAGTTGTATTGGATGACCTTGTACACCAGAATTAATTAAGATTTGTTATTGTATTGTATGACAATTTTATATGTTAATTTTGCCAAACAGCAGACATTTTGCATCAGAAGTCACGAGTAGAACGTACAGGTCTCCCTCCAACTAAGGACCACCTCCAATTAAAGACCACTATTCTGTGGTCCCAAATTAACAAATTACTTTTATCGTTATTATTCTAATGAGAGACCAAAGCTGCTAAAGAACATGAAAATGCCGGTCCCAAATGTGGTCTTTAATTGGAGGGAGACCTGTATATATAAATCATTCAATGGAGTAGCATATTAAAAAAAAGCACTAAAATAGGCATTGTGAACTCCCTCACTGAACCGTGGAGATATTTGGTTAATACAAACAAACAAAATTCTGAAAAAAATTGAACTTAAAAAAATAACCTAACTATATAACATTGGACACATTATTAACAGTAGTAGTGTTATACGGCCTGTTTAAGCACAACCAATTTTCTGTGCATCTTCAGAATAATACACACTTTTCCAAAACTGCTTTTTTAAACGGTTGAATCTATACTGTCTGGATTATCAGTGACAATTTTGATGGAAAAATTGTAGGTACTCTAGGAGGAGGAAAGCTCCCACAAATACAATTTTGCTTTTAAATTGATTCACCAGTTTTTTATCCACCTGAAGCTAGAAAAGTTTTACATAATATCACAGATTTATAGAATCTGAAGTGATACAGCCTTTACCAAAGGCTGTATAATACACCTCAATTTACTACAGTACATCATGTCACCACTGTCTACTTGGCATAGAACCTCGCGTGGAACAAGATGTTGTTTGGGAATGAATAACAACAGTCTACCCACCTGTTGAGTATTTCTACGTAATCTTTGGAGAATTACCCAGAATGCTTTTGCCGTGTAGTGCCTTTTAAATAGTGTTGGTTGCAGGTATTCGGTTTAGGCGCATATTCAATCTGTGTAGAACTACTGCGAAAGAGGTTGACTCCTATATATTCCTATGTGATTGTTAAAGGCCTTACAAATTTTACACACTTTCAATAACACAAAGCTATTGATAATTTGTTGTCTGTCACTGTTTTATTCATTCGTTTGTCCGTCCGTCCGTCCGTCCATCCGTCCGACTTACAGTAATACAATATATAAAATTATATAAAATATAGATTTCAGAATTTGCCAATAATTAGGAAAGAAAAACAAAAGAAATAAAAAAAAAATCATGATAAGATAAGATGTATTTATTCGTCCAATTTATTACAATTTTTGTGTGGTATGAATAGAAAATAAAAAGATATAGAAGCATGGTTAAATAGGCTGTGAATATTACATGAAAATGAACAGAGAAATGATACGTTTACGTCAAACTGAATCTTTTTCCTTCATGATGTATATTTTATGACTAAAATCTATATCTTTATGTTTCTGTATGCTCTAGAAATGAATCCTCCTATTCAGCTACCGCTGGCCGATAGTGTGCTTTCTGAAGTCGTCAAGCAATCGAAAGACTGTGCTTTGTCGCATGGTTTCTGCTTTAGAACAGCAGCCAACCCCAGCTCCTCAGACACTGTGAATTTTGCGCCCCATTCTCTGTTACCTTCACCGATACCAAGGAAGTACTTTGATGAACTCTGTGAAGTCCAGCAGCATTTCAATCTCCTGTTTTATCGCATAAGCTTAGACTATGACTTTATCAGAGAAATGCTGAAAAAGTAAGATTTTTGTTTTTCTGTAATACTTTTATTTCATACTCATTAGCCTTCAGTAAAAGTAGTAGAGGCGGTTTTGTCCTGTGGAAATGATTTGGTTTCCCAACCTCGAGGTCGAGGTTTTAGCCCTTCGCTAATCATTTCGCTTGAGTGTTCTTGAGCAAGGCACTTTATCTACATTGCTTTAGTCTACCTAGCTGTAGCAATGGGTATCAGCAAATTGCTGGGAGTAACCTGCGGTGGACTCAGGCTACTTCATTTGTTTCATGTTCTGATTGTCAGTAACATTGACATGGGTTTTTTGTTCTAATTTGTTATTTCCCTCACATCCAACAGCAAGTGCACTCGTCACTTACATGAGGAGAATGATAATTTATAAACAAGTCTCTTAATGAAGCAATAGGGAGTAGAATTGATTTTAGTCGTGAGAAAAAAGGCCTGCTGTGACAGGATTTGAACCCAGGATCCTGGGATTAGAAGGCAAGCACCTTAACCACTGAGCTATTCAACTCCACTCCACAACTCAACAGTTGAAATACAAATTTGCTCAAAAATGTTTTTGATTGAATTATTTCTTTTTATTGTCTGATAGCATAATTTGTCCGTTTTATATACTGTTTCTATCAGTATGGTAGGAAACTCTTCTTATTTTAATTACCATTCCATTAAAAATTTAAAGAAAAACATTTTTTTTGTCTTTATCCATTGCTAATGTTAAGAAATTAAATTAATTAAATATTATGTAACCCATAAAGTTTGTTTACTTTTCTATGATAATAAAATAATAGTTGAATAAAGTATTTTCTTCCATGTGATTGGTATAAAAGATGTTTGAATGACAATATTATGATCTGGTTTAAAAATTAAAAATTTGTTTTATATTTCAATGAAATACATTTAGTGCCGCGGTGTCAGATGATTTTACCAGCAGATTATTGGAGATCCTAGAGACGGTGTTAAAGGAAGGTATTGTCAGTGTAAGTACACTTCACTCAGTGCTTCATAAAATCATTTTTTAAAGACTGTTTTGAGATTCAATGTTGTTTCTACTCATTTTTTATTTATCAAATTGATAGTCATTTTCCCATTAGTGAACTGAAAATATTATTAAAAATGTTAATATTCAGTAATTATTTTATTTTTATATGTAAACATTGTACATCTACATTGAAATAGCATTGCAAGGTTTGGCTCTGAAAAAAAAAACACACTTAAACATAAGATATATCACAGGTTTCTAGGATCTTTAAGGACCGCCATTTTTAAATTGTAGTCTTGCGGTAATTAAAAATTTGTGTTTAAAAAAAATGTCATTTATCAAAATATTTATATTTACCTGCCTGCCAGCCAATCATTTCATATAATATACTGTAGTTTGCTAATCTGCATGAACAGTTTCATAAATATTTTTTTTTTTTCGACTTGTTATGTTAAGTCCCATATAAGTTTTAATTATACTAGTCCTTCAAAGTTTGAAAAACTTACTGGTACTTGGTATGGGCATTTCTGTATTGCGCCTCTTCCTTGATGTTATAAAGCGCAGTTCTTTTCCCTGGTCATTGGGTTCACATGCTTTAGGTTTTGCTGCTGGTAATCGGCGCAGGAGCAGGCAACCCTACCAGGTACCCATTAATACTTCTGGAGGGAAGCAATGCAGATAAAGTTTCTTGCTCAAGAACACAAGCGAAATGCACAGCGAGGGATTGAAACCACGACCTCGAGAAACTACTTCCACAAATTTTTTCTCATGCAATGATTTTATAACTAAGCTAGGCTATTTTGTTCATTGAGTCTTTAAAATAGGTCTAGAATATTCATATTAAACGTTCTGTTTGTTTAGTTTATTAGGGTTCATTGATTCAAGGAATTCCTTAATTGTTCATACTTAATATTGAATTTGAATCACTTTATTTGGGTTATAAAGTAATAAAAAAACAGCAGCACTTTTGAGACTAACAATATATAATTTATTCTCTAGCTTTCGTCCACACAGTGGACTTCATCAGGAGACTGTACAAATGGGATAAGAAACAACTATAATATACAACTGAAATAATGGGGGCGGTCCTAAAACAACAAAGAATGGTGTACAAAGGAAGTACAAGTCTGCCGAAATAAGCAATCTGAATAAACAGTATTAAAAGAACAAAAGATCAATGATAAGAAACTGTGGGAAATAGCATACAAAATATGTCTATGTCAAAGTTAATGATAAAAACAGTAAATACAGTAAGGTAACTATAAGACAAAAATATAGTAAATAATAAGGAAGCTATAGAAATATAAAAATATACATACAATGATGAGAAATAATTATTGACGGTAATGTGCGAGGAATCCTCGATCAATGTTAAGGCCTAGTTCTATACAGTCTAATTGTGTAATTATTTTCTGTTCAGCTATTTCTCGTTCTAAACTATTTTTGAAAAATTCTTTCTTAACTAATACTACTACTACTACTATTTGGGTTCTAATTAACCTTGTTTTATGAAAGTAATTTTCAATTGCAGTGTTGACATCACGATTGACTTATAATGTGTTTTAACAACTTTTTAAACTGAGATACAGTATGGCCAGATTTATTGTTTAAAAGCATACTCAGGTTTGTCTAATAATTATACATCATATAATGGTTGTCTTAGAGGGCATCAATTTCATCATTTTCATAAAGAGTACAATTATTATGCAAGTAGAAAGGAAGTTAATGTTGTATGTACTCTATTATTTTTAAAAATTATTATTAATGATCTCAAACTAGCAAAAGTCATTAGTATTTTGAGGTTCAAGGGAGGTGGTCACAGAGAAGAGTTGTTATAAATTCTAATTAAACTAATAACTTAAATTAAATTATTATCATGGCTAAAAAAAAGGAACTATTAATCGTTTACTACAGTAGCATAGAATAATTGGAAAGATATTTTGATTTTATTGTATTTGTGCCAAATTTGTTGTCTGAAAAAAAAAAAGGGAAAATTAAAATTTGTGTACACGTTTAATATTTCAAACACTCATGTGTTCTTCCTCTTTACATAAAATTGCCTGATTTTATTTGCTCAACGGTAATATTGATCACTCTTATCTTTTAATCATTATATATATATATATATATATATATATATATATATATAATTTAAGAAAAAATTGTAGTGGAACTGCAATTTACAGTCTTCTTCTGTCGATATGGTTTTGTTAAACGAAATTTTTATGGCCTGTATTCACATTTTAATGATGAATTCACTTTATTTTTATGAATTTTAGAGGATAATCAGCCTAAACATTTTATTTTTTATAAACATAATGATGCGTGAGATAATACAACCTATGCTTTGGCAGGTGTATTAATGGTCGGTTAATAATTGCCAAACAGAATATTGTTTGTTGTAAATTTTTCTTTAGAAGCTAATAACTTTGCAGCTATTTTAGGGGAATGATGAAAACAATTCAGATTCTGTTTGATTTTGTTGTATTACCAGAATTGATGAAATTTAATTGCTTTTTTTTAGGCTGGAGTTTTAGCACTTTTACGGTCGGATTACATGCTAGATGGTACGACAGATGAAATGCTTCCGAAGCAAGTGGAAATAAATACGATAGCCAGCAGTTTAGGATGTGTTACATCACATCTGACACCTGTACATAGGTAAAGAATTGATTTGATATGAGTTTGGACATTCAATTTCAGCTCTCAAATATTACAAAATGAAACATAAAGGGAAAAAAAGGTGTAATAGGGGACGCAGCTTAGAAAAAAAAATGATTAAAACCTTGAAAGAGGCATTTCCATGTTAAAGACAAATTACTTTAATACAAAATGCTACAGAATTTCAAAACTCGCCTTAAATTTGAAATAATAGAATTAAATTTCCCTGTCAATTAAAATCAAATGGTACTTGGTATGGTATAGGATGGAAGGATGGATTTATTCATTCGGTGTAAACACCAAGGATAACCGACGAAAGTCTGAAGAAGACTTATTTCTGTTGGGTTTCTCCTGGTGGTGATGGGGCAGTACACCGGCAGACAATCCCCTACTCTTTTCGAATAGTGTACTGCATGCTTTAATGTGCACATGGGCCATAATGTACACGGGGCCAACAGCTTAAACGTCTCATCCGAAAGACGGTGCGCTATCGTAACTTGCATTTCAGCCCTCCAGCTGAAACACAAGGACAGTAGTGATGGGAATTGAACCGGTGACCTCGATATCTCCACGGTTCAGCGCACACACAGTGGCTACCACCAGTTTAGCCTACTGAGCTTGCCTCGAACAGTGCATCCATTCTTTAGGTCTGATGAGAATAGCCTATTAATTTAGACTTTGTAATGAAGAATGTAATACAAAATAAAGTCTGTTAATAGCTTATAATAGTCATCAATGAATGAAGAAACAAATGTAGAATTCCAATGTAGTATACCATTATGTGGATTTAACAATATGGTACTATTCTATGGTAATGAAGCCACCATTTATTTTACATATGGGCAGTAATATTTGTCCTAGTTCTAGCTTTATGTTAGTTCTTGCTGGCACAAGGCCATGTAAAATAATATTGATTGTTGCCAAAAATTCTGAGTAGGGACTTGTATGTTTAGATTTGATCATATCATAAGAGGCTTTTTTTACCCTGCAATTTTGAATGCATGAAACAAGTAAACACTATTTTCACTTCCAAATATAAGGCCAAGTAAAAAAAAAAGTAGTTTCTCATCTTAATATTTTGAAAAAAAGGAGAATAAGGACACTTTTTTTTCTACCCTGACATGGCAAATCCAAGATGGTTGATGGGAAACAGCTAAGTACTACTTTCTCACTTTTACCAAGTAGACACAAAGCCAATAAAATTTGAAGCACTAGACATGATTCATACCAAATGTATCCCCAACCACGAATAATCGACAGCGGAGTTTTACTGATGTAAGTTAGCATTTGTTAATTCAGGATTACAGAAAAGTAGTCTTTAATTATAGGGAGACCTGTTGGAAAGTTTGAATTGGATAGTTAGATTGGAAGTGAATTTAAAAAAAAAAAATTATATTTCTAAAGCGAGACATTTTTATTCCTTGTTTACAAACTTAAGTTTTTTTAAGATTGTCAGAGGAGGGCGGAAAAGAAATAAAAATAAAATTATATTTTCTTATTTAGCAAATAGTTTTGCCAAAAACATCCAGACGGAGGAGAAAATAGAAATTTTATTGGTGAATGTAAACAGTGTAGTAATGAGACATGGTTTAAATGCTTTAAATTTATATAATTAGGAAGAAATATACATTATTTTTGCAGATTTGATGACGTAATAAAAATAAAGAAAAACTTTTACTTTTTTCTGAAATTACCATTTTTTTTCATGGCAGAGGGTGCTCTAATTGGCCAAATATAAAATTTTATTTTTAATCGAAATCATCATTATTGGCGGGTGGTGGTTTCGCTAAGCTCTGTGTAAAAGAAGTCTAGCCTAATGCATGGGAGAATTAGATACACATATTTTGCTGTATACTTTGATAGTCAGTTGGTTTTAATGTACCAGTAATCGCAGCTTTCTATAAAGCCATCCAATGACTTTACACTTCATAGTTAAAAAGAATGTGAACATGGTTTTTCTGCTTCAAGGCGTCACACATAAGAATTTACAACAAAGAAATTTATATCTGCTTTTGTGGTTGTAGTAGAGATAAGCATAATATTTTTATATGACCATAGAGAAAATAGAATGACCTACCCTAAGTATAAGCTAAGTAGCTTATGTTTCACTTCCTGTTAGGTCAAAACAGCTCAGTGAATTTTAATGAGGTCAAGTACACTTAGATTATAAATTTGTTTGTATGCATTTACTGTAGGTCTTTAGTTATTAGATGCATCATAAAGTAAGGTTAAACTTCTCATAGCATATCATTTATTTCCTCACATTATTGAAGTAATTATTTGAAAAATCTGGAAAAAAAAAATCACAAAAATAACTACTACTATTACTAAGTTAAAGACATTTGCACTTATGTTAAAATATATATGGGTTCAAATAGAGAGCCGAGTAGGACACATAATAAGTACCACCCCCCCACCCCTTCTCGCTTTAGCATTTATGATTATTTTAAACGTTGTGTTTTGATCAGTACCTTGGGGACGGGCTGTGCAGCCACAAAGCACTGGGGCCCGGGGCTTTTTTGGGGCCTTCAATAGGCATATAGATCTAAAAATATAACTTAAAAAATTCATACTGATAGATATTCAACCTTTATTGTCACATTTACAATGCAGTACAATATGAAATTTGGTTGTAGACACTAATATGTATTAACATAAAAAGAAAATGAGGATAAAATATTACTGTACACTTATAGTAGGGGTGAGACAATAGCCTTATCTAATGAATTTAGAGTTGTATAAGTGGACAAAGCTATAAACGAACAAAGGACTTCCTGCTTTTGTTACCCAGTCAGTCACAGGCAGACTGGGTTTCTGCTGAACACATGCACGCACACCAACACACAGACGCACACGGCGTAAGGCTGGCATAAGCTAAAACACGGATTAAAATTCCAAAGTTGGCCATTGCCATGCCATAAAGCAAGGTCTTTATGGTGTTCATAAATTTAGCATCAAACATCATAAAGTGTCATCTTAATTTCTGCCAATATTATTATTAATATACGGTAATACTATTTGATCTTACTGGATAAAAAGACATTCACCTTTTGTGTGCTGATAGAAATTGAGAGTAAATTTCAAAAGTAAAATTGTTAACACGATCCAATTGAGCTCAAATTTACTAGGAGTGACCTGACTGTGTTCATGTTTGAACATAGTCTCTAGTTCAATGGTGGAGTTTTACTGGTTTACTATAAGCAATTACATTTGAAGTATTGTCTTCATAATTGTGTTGATAAAAAGATACATTTTGTATTGAATTGTTCTAGATGTTTGTGAAATTCGATGAATAAAAATAATTATTCCATTATAGTATTGAGTCATGGCAGTTTTATACAATGTAACATTACCTTGCAGTGACGAGTAAATAATGATATGAAATTATATGAACTGCTTGAGATATTTGTATGTATGTTATTGGTATTAACAATAATGGAAGTATGAATTATCTATTTCATCATACTTCTTGTTTGTTTTTTTTTTTCATGTATTGGCATGGAACTTGCAGATATATTATGCAACTTCTTGGAAAATATGATGTAGAGAAGTCACTCCCAGACAATACTCATGTAGAAGAATATTCCAAAGCATTTGTGAAAGCATGGGAAGTTTATGGCACACCAAAGTATGTATACCTTTAAAATATCTGCTCATTGAGTTTATAATTTTCAATTTTAAAGAGACATCAACATTATCTCCAAATGTTTACAATTTTAATATATTTTCTATTGAAAAATGTGTGTATACTAACAATTATATCAATACAGTATTAATAAAATACCAAAACTCTTCAACAGTAATTTGCCTATGCTTTAAATTTTTACCTGAGTGGATAGTTAGAGGCAAACACAGACAAAATGCCACGCACAAAGGCACAATGGATAAGTGTCATAAGATTAGAACTTATGATCTTATGGCTGAGAATCCTGAAATGACCACTGCACCAAATGCATAAGTTAATAACTGATGTATACAGGGGTCCAGTGGTGGCACCAGGATTTGCCCGACGAGGCTCCCGGAAAAGGGGGGGGGGGGGAGNGTGTTATATATAAGTGGGCATAGTTGGGCGTCGCTCAAAATCTTTTGAAAGTGGTCCAATGGGCGAATCCACCAAAAAGTGTGACAATTTAAGGGTTGCAAATGCTTATACATATAATTGATTTTAGAGTGTATTAATATGTGGAAAATATAATATTTTTTTTCTACAGATGAATTGTGGTTTTTCTCTCTGATGGGGGTGGGGGGCCTCTCTGATAGGTGGGGCTGTAGCCCCCCTACTGTAGCCCCTTGTAGCGCTGCCACTGCAGGGGTCCCAAGTTGAAAGAATCCACATCCGGGTGATGTGTTTCAATGAGCTTGCTTAACAAATCTAAATATTATTCTGCTGTGATTTGTGATACCCACTGGCACTGATATCCAAAAGACAATTGATAAATACAATATTAATAATTGGTAAAATTATACAAATATTTGGAATATGTGGAAGATGGGTTATTTTCCAGGAGATTCTCGTTTGTTCACGGGTGTGCGGGAGGCCTTCACGATTTTCGGGAGACTCCCACGACTTCCGGGAGACTTAGGACCCATGTATATAAGGCCCATTACATAATACAATTCAATTGTCTTTCTCCTTTTTGATCTTTCTGTCTTTGGGACTTGTTGATATTGAGGTTGATGCACAAGCTATTTTAATATTTCATTTAATAATGACCCCTTTAGACCTATTTACACAAAGTATGAGAGCGGTATGCAACAGTGACAAAAATATTCTGCCGCGTAATGCGTTCCATTTTCACAGTGCACAACAACAGCTGTGATGCACGCAACTTTCGTGGCTTTTGCTGCAGTAGTCTACAAGCTCAGCAGAATGGCCGGAGTCAGTGATTGGTCAGAATATTTTTCGTCGCACAACAGTATTTTGGAAATAGAAAATTATTCTATGCTAAGCAACACATAATAAGTTCTATTTTTTCTGCCATGGTTGCCTGCCGCTGTCATGCTCTGTGTAAATAGGCCTTATTTGTATTTTTGTCCAGGGAACATCAGAAAATTTGCATGGTATCTCATATAATTTCTAATTCTCTATTATAAGCATTTATTTGAGAATTATTTGTTAATTTAAACAAGGTTCTACATTTTTATTTGTGTTTCTTATTATTTATCTGTCTCTAGAGCGGCAATATTCTTTGTTGTTTCTTCAAAAGAAAGAAATATATTTGACCAGCGAATATTGGAGTTTGGAATTAAGAAGGAAAATTTTGACATTCTTGTTAAGAGAGTTACCTTATTAGAAATTGGTTCCAATGGAAAACTCAAAGACGACCGGCGGTTAATAATGTATGTACAAAAGAAATAATTATTTCGATAAGGTCCATGTTAAATATCTAGTCAATCACAGAGATGGAATTTATCATTAATTGTAAAAAAAATATAGGTATGTTTACAAATTTTAAGAATCATGAATTAAGTAAAAAGATGTGGCTTATCCTTTTATATTAAAACTATATCCAACTCAATATGTTGAAAACTTTTATTTTGCTAGTAATGGTATTGAAGCAGCTGTGGTATACTATAGAAATGGATATGTTCCTTCACATTTTACATCAGATATTGTAAGTCATAGATGAAGTACTGTAGTTATATAAATATGATTACTACTGTTCCTCATAAACATTAATTGGGTATTAACAAAATGTCGTTGGACAATTCCACCCGGTAGGGAGTCCGGCAGCCTCTACCACTTCCCTGTTTTCTACTATGCCACATTTATCATACATGTGGAAAAAAAGCACTACTCAAAATCGACTACTACACCCCTTTATACTTGAACCATATGCAAACTGTCTAATTTTAAGCTCGAAATGGCTAATATAGTTTGCTGTTTTATTATTTATGAGGCATGGTAAAACAAATGCAACATGGTTTTATTTTGGTAAAGCAATGAATTCTGCTTCCCTCATTGTTGGATGAATTGGATTGGATTGGATTTATTCGGTGTAAACACCAAGGATAGCCCGCGAAAGTCTAGAAGAAGACTTATTTCCAATGGGGTCATTCTGGTGGTGATTGGACAGTACACCGGGAGACAATCCCCTACTCTTTTCCGAAGAGTGTACTGTGTTCTTTAACGTGCACATGGGCCATAATGCACATGGGACCAACGGCTTAAACGTCTTATCCGAAAGACGGTGCGCTATTGTAACTTGTATTTCAGCCCTCTAGCTGAAACACATGGAGATGCAGCGATGGGAATTGAACCAGGGACCTAGAGATCTCCATAGTTCAGCGCACAGACAGCGGCTACCACCAGATTAGCCAACTGAGCTAAGCTGCTTTCTACCTCGGGAAGTATAATTCACTACTTCATCTCAAATGTTGTATTATGCATAGCTATTCTTTTTGTAGATATTTTAAGAATTTTTTTAGTACTTCATGAAGCCCAGCATTCACTGCGGCTGACGTTCGTCGATCAAAGTGATTCTATGGAGAATGCAACGCAGCGACATGCACGGGAAACGGATCGTTTTTAATGACGAAACTGCCACTGACAATCAGATGATGGCACCGTTTCGTTTTGTGCTCACTGGCAGCAGAATTAGATTTGTCAGCTGACGTCGTACAACGCAGTGAGTGCCAGCCATAAGGTTGGTAAATCAGCAGAAAAGGAATCAACTTTGATCAGAGTTTCAAATTCCCAGATTTTCATTACAGTCATCATGTTTTTTCATTCAGGAATGGGATGCAGTTTTGATTGCAGAGAGGTCGCGAGCCTTCTGTTGCCCGAATGTTTCTTTACACTTGGCTGGCACCAAGAAGATCCAACAAATCTTGGCTAAGCCGGGAGTAGTCGAGAGATTTATATCTGATGCTGATGCGGTGAAGGCTATTAGGGCCAGATTCGCTGGCCAATACTCACTGGACGTTGTGAGTAGTAAATTTCGTCATTCTTAAATAAGCATACTGTTGCTAAATGTTAACATGAGTAATTACCACTTAAGAATGTGGCAGTATTTTATACTTAACTACAGAGAAACTAATCATTTTACTCATAACTTTGGCAATAATAAGTCGATTACAGTTTTGGTCACTGATAACTGGTTTTGACATGGCAAGCCCCATATATGGATATGACATTATGCCCATATGCAAATTTTTCACATAAATCTTTATAGTGTAGGCAGCTTAGCACATTGAAGACAAACAAACATATGGTTATCAATGTTTATCACTATAAATATTGTATAGTAAAATAGGGCAATTACTATTAACTGTATATTCTTAGCATGATACAAATTGTGATTGTTTAATGATATTTTGTATTATGTTATTGTTGTTCTTATTAGTATTTATTATTATTTTATTGTTATTAAATAGTGTCATTATCATCAATATTAATATTAATTATAATTCTTAATATTTATATATTTAATATAAATATATAATATATATTTATATATTTAATATAAAATATTTTTTCAGGGCCCAGATGGAGATGAAGCTATTGCCATGGCAATTGCCTCACCTGAAAAATTTGTGATGAAACCCAACAAGGAAGGAGGAGGTGAGAGCTGGGATATTAATATTTTAACTTTATCTGTATCAATGAACATAATTGGTTATACAAATATTTCCAACTTAATTGGAAGCCAATACCTTACCATAAATATTGAAAATAATGTCTAATTTTATTCTTTAAAGTTATTAAGTTTTAATATTAGTCACTTAGTGATATTAGAAATAAATGTTTTTAAAATATTATTAAAAAATATATTGATGATGTGAATACAGTGCACAAAAACTTTTTGATGATTGTTTTATCTTTTTTTTTTCTTTTAAAGGTAATAATATTTATGGTGTTGATATTCGTAAAAAGCTTCTTGAAATTCAAAACTCGGAAGAGAGAAATTCCTACATCTTGATGGAGCGGATGATCCCAGTTCCCACCCAAGGCTATAGAGTAGTACCGTCAGAAGCCCCTAGGCTTCTTCCTATGGTTTCAGAATATGGAATGTTTGGAACGCTTGTTAGGTAAGCAGAACTGTGCAAATCTATGTATGAACTACGGTATACTACAGTGCTAATGAATATTGGAGACTGGTTTATGTCAAATCATAAAAGTTTAAGCACCATTTGAAATACTTTGATAGGAGACTATTTTGGTATTAATGTAAAAATTATATAAAAGAAAAACTGTTTAGATTGTAATTCCCCAACATTTCTGCTCAGAACCAATTAACATTAAATCAAATATATATTTCCATTCGTTCAAATAACAAATGCCAAAACCAAGGTGGCTGTTACTGTAACAATAATTATGATAATAAAATAACATCAATTGAGATTTGTAGCATGCCTCATGGTGTACCAAAAGCATATAATAATTATTATTGTCAACTTGGCATATTTAATTGCTGTTAATAATTATGTATTATTCAATTTCAGTGATCAAAACGGTGTGCTGTTGAACGAGTATGCTGGACATTTGGTACGTACCAAAGTCATCGGAGTGGATGAGGGCGGTGTAGGTGTTGGAGCTTCGGTTCTCGATACACCTTATTTGTTTTGAACTTTCGCTAACAACAGTACTAAAGTAAAATTATGGCATGCAGGAATCCCAAGTTAGAAAATGCCACTTAGTGGAGATCTAGTTTAATAAGCTATCTGAACACATTTTGAGCCCTGTTGAGATAGTATTTGGTCAAACTAACCATGTATGTTTGACCTAAAAAGCCAGTGTAAAAAACTTTTTGTTAGATTTAACAAAGTGTGCGGTAAGTTTAACACGTTTGCTGCCAGAGACGTGAGATAATGTCTGACAGGGTTCAGTCAGGGCACTGGGAACTCAAGTTCACGTCCACACCTGTCAAACATAAATAACAACAATAAATACTGTATGTTTGCTCCTGTTTCGCTACAGTTGATAGAAATGATTTTTATTATGGTGGTGCCCTTTATGCCTTGGCGTATGGGATGAAACTAGGACAAAAGGCTTGGCAGTCAACGTGTTTAACATAGTGTTTTACGCCCTTGAAAGAAATGCAGTTTGTATTTGAATCAGAAAAGCGGCATTATGTGCAGCTTAAATGATTTATCACACATTTTTACACCCAAATATTTGAATGTTTTACTGTGAATTTGCACCAATATTAATACTACTCATAGGAAATTTGAGTTCCCTGTATTTTAATGATATTGTATGGTGACATAAGGCTGAAATGTTTGGTTTTACTAGTTGGGGATCAGGATTTGAGATGGTTGGTTAAGGCCTTGTAACTGGTTTATGGGGTAGGCATACTGGTTCAAAAAAGGTCTAAATAAACCTGTTCTATATGTTGAGAAGGGGATCGCAATGGATTTTGGATGTGGGTGACTATGTATACCTGCCAACTTTGCTGACTGATGTGCTAGACAAAAAAAAATTATATAACGGCCTCTATGCAAAATCACGAAATATAGTGCCCTCTGTGTTACTATTTTAAAATTTGTAATGCGGAACTGCTACTGAATACAACAGGCCTGGATTAGGTTAAAAAAAAAAATGTGTTGGCCACATTCACTTTTTTTTTTCAACCAAATATGTGTTTACACCTAAAAAGTAGAAAAATATTAGCTTTGTTAAAAGAACTTATATGGCCTGTATTCACATTTTAATGGCAAATTCACTCCATTTTTATGAATTTTGGGGTATAATCGGCCTATACATTTTATCTTTCATAAAATTGATGCGCGAGATAATACAATGTAAGCGTGTGACGTAAGAAGATGATGCTCATGCATGAGACTCGGCAGGTATAACTACGTAACCCCTATTTTTATGCAACTCAACTGTTAAAATGAAATATATAACAATTTAAGGAGAATTTTATTTGAAATTTTTAAATGCTAAATGTCATACTGTACATTTAGTGGAGTACAATAGAGACAATGTAAAAGCGTGGAACCTCATACTTCCCTGCATAGGGGATCTTGTACCACACACCCCACCCCCCACCCTTCCTTTATGGTCACTTAGGTACGCCACTACTTGGACATGTATACATTGCAAGTGAATAATTATCATTAATATATAGAAAGTTTTATTTAATTAAATTTGAATATATATTTTCACTAAACTAATTATATTTACAACTCGGTATAATTTTAAGCAATTGTACATATTACGTTCTCTCTAAAATACAGTTTTATATTGATTGATGAAATGAAAATAAATGAATCAAAATGATCAAAGAATTTCTCATTATGTTATTTATTGCAACATGAGGACTACAAACAAAAACGGTTTCATAATTACACTCAGCATAGTATTCATTACAATTCAATCATTTTTAACACAGCAGTTTCTTATAATTAGGGGGAGGGGGAACAATTACGATAGTGGTTACACAAATGGTTAAGGTTACAATCAATTTTTATACACTCAGCTACAAAAATTTAGTACAGTATTTGTCACCAGATTAAAATTATTTTAAGATACAGATAATCAAATAAGTAGTAGATGTTACATGTCATGTCTTAGTGATGTCAAAATAAAAACAAATTACTTACATTTGAACTCAAAATTAATAAAAACCAAGCTTAACAACAGGCCAATCAGAACAGGGCCTGCAGTACACACTTGTCTCAACACAAATGCACAAGATTGGCAAGATAAAGATGCTTAGTTGTTTTTCTGTACAAAATCAAATATCAGCAACGTAGCAAAACGTATCCAGGATCAGCTCAAGACCCACTTGTTCACTTCCTCGTTATAATAAATACAAATTTATATAATTATTGGTTTCACTTTTCATATTGTACTAGATTAAGTTTAGCTTACATATGTTAGGGCAGCAGTAGTCAGAGACCCCTAAAGGAGCAACATACAATTCCTTGGGCAAGCAAAGGCATTCTTGAAGGTTCCATCACCAGGATTATATCTACTGTACCACTCTTCCCCCACCGTCTCCTTTCTATTGTTTTAGTTGTGGAATAAGAAATTTAACCTGAGTAATTACAGTATTGTTTAGATCTGCATATGATTTTCTTCAGTAGTGGTAATATCAACTGATATCGTTGCAATCAGAAGATGGCTAGTGAATCGGCATTGCTGTATTTTTCCTACAGTAAACTATCTTGTACCATGAGCATCTTTGATAGATACTAGTGCATTATAAATGCACATTATTCAACAGTACAGTGGCAGATCCAGGAATTTGACATGGGCGAGGGGGGCAGGGAGGGACTTTCACAGATGGAGGGTTATTAGACAACCGTTGGGGCTGAGGTAAGAAAATTTATGATATGGCACCTCTAGATGGCCGGAAATGGCACTCTCCGACATCAATTTGATCATATTTTTTTTCTTAATTTCAGTCCGCGCTGTGTTTGCATTATTTTGCAGTAGTGTAGTGAAATCTCACCAAGAATCTGTTTCAAAGCAAAACATACAGTTTATTATTACTGTACTGTATTCTGCTTTGACTACAAAGATTGAATGAATCAGAGTTAGCACTTTACAACAGAATTCTTAGAATAATTTATGCAAAAAACTATTTATTTCTCTACTCTAATATTCATACAAATTCTTAAGAATTGACTTGTGAATATTTTCCTACAATTTCGAAGTTCTACAACAAAAAAATTTTTTAAGAAAACATATAGTAAAAAATAAAGTATTTGATGTTTTTCTTTATTTGGCATTGTTTTGGAAAACCTCAATGGTTCGGTAATTGTGATTAAAACGATTCTAAAGCCCTTTTCACACTAGTCTATCACATTTTATGTGACAAATTTGAGTGATTTAATGTATTTATCAATTAAAATTTAATAGTGTGGACACAACTTAGTTAATATGAACAGCTCTTCAGAGATATGCTTTCCACTGATCCTATAAAATAACACATCCACATTAAGCCCAATGTACATAAATAATAAACAGTCTCACATATTTTAGTTATCTGAAGACATTAAAGCAAAAAAACCTACCAGCTATTCTGATTTATGTGCATCTTAAAAAGCAAATAAATAGATGGTTTTCCAATATTTAGGATCATTAATTTGCACTACTTAAAATGATTTGAGTGTAAGGAAGCCTATGGCTTGGTCTGCTGCCACAAAAAATGATTACTGTTTGGAAATCTTGGCTATGCATTCTATTAAAAATGAGATTTTACCATGCAACCATATTGACAGCATATTTTATTATGTATCAAGAACCTTAAGGGAAAAAAAAATTAGCATTTGCTAGTGGACATTGCTACAGAAGGTTTCTCTTCTGGGAACCAACCCATGGGAAAAGGAAGCAAGGCCAGCCCTTGACTACATGTACAGACCAATTAGAAAAGGATCTAAACACACAGCGACAATACACTCCACAACTTAAGAACAGTTACAGAAAATGTATGATTTTGCTCATTATTAACAAGGTGTGCCCAATAAAGAGAGAGAATTGAATTGAAAAAGGTCCAGAAACCAGCTGTATAAGCTGTATTACCTTGTGAGGAAGTGTGATTGTGGGTGCATGACAAAAAAAATGAGGGGAATGTGAAGAAATTACAGCCCTGGGCTTCTTGTCTCAGGCAATTTTCTTTTGCTATGAAAATTTTGGAGTGAGGGAATCTGGGTCGCAAGATTTTGTGGAGTAGTTTGCTCGTGGACGAATAACATGGGGAAGAGCAACACCTGCAACAGCTGATAGGAAAAGATGGCATTCTGGTGTCTTTATGCGCCACCTGATGTGAAGAAGATAGGTTATTTAAAGTGTTCTTCTAACAGCCCTCAGGTACGCCACTGCCGAACACGTTCATATTCTATTTCAAAACATTTCTCAAAATATAAATTTTAAATACTGTATGAATTCACTTATGAGCACATGAACTCTATCAGAGTCCAATCAGTTATAATTTAATACAGTGATTATTTCTAGTGAAGGCACAGTCCTTATTTCATAAGAAAAAACAAAGAATTCAGTACAAATATTAAAATTCTGTTTAACAAATGTAGCTTTGGTAACATGTAATTTAAGTAAAGAGGGACTAACAATACCAGTTCCAAATAATTTAGGAAAAGTATATTAAGAATATATATCTTACACCTACATATATTTCATTTTCATTGAACACCTATTCACTGGTGTGTAAATATTAGGTAATCAATGTTACCTGTTAATTTTGGCAACTACTCTTTAGTAACAACTTGGAGGTAGCAGTTAAGCAATGACAGAGAACTTGTAGCTTTTCAACTTGGGACTTAGACGGCAATTCTGCAGAACGTTTTTATACCAATCTAATCTTCTTGCTGGCATTCTCGACAAGTTGGTCTTCTACTAGACTTCCTAATGGTGAAACAGACTGCAGGAGCTTGGATTCGGAAGCACGTCCAAATAAGGAGAGCAGAAGAGCCACCCCATATCCTGTAGCTCGCTCACCCTGAAATGTTAATGAAGGTGCTCACACTTGATTAATCATAAAAGATATTTTACACTGATTATTTAATTTAAATTCAAATGACATTTATTCAATGATGAAAATATGATAAAGGTATACAGTACAATACAAATAATGATAAGTAATAAAAAGAAATAAAAAACATCATTGGGATCATGACTAGTAGTAAAACTTGTCTCATCATGACCCCATGAATAAAAAAAGAGAGATGACATAAAAGCTACCTTAGTTATTTACTAATGGTACAATGATAAATATTCTTTTTTAATTTTACTTTTAAAGACAGGTAAAGAAAATTAATTTTTAATTGAAGATCATTACATAATGACATAGGTCTGTGATTTGCTGTGATAAATTTGAAAAATAAAATCCATAATTTGAATTGCTTACTCTGAATATTAAACATGTTGGATTTCAACTGACAATGGATCTTTCCACTAAGCCCCGCCCCTGGATATTGTTGCCATGGTACTGTAAAACATACGCAAACATGTACATTTGTAGGACACATTTGTGAGGCACACGCATATTCCTGACCCTGTTCTGATTGGTCAGTTGATTGACCCTCTAGAAAGGTCAATTAGAAGACAAATCACTTCTTAGCGTGCATACTTCTGCCCTGTGCCTGAATAGTGTATGATATATGCAAGGGTTTTAATGTCAAGATGGGAGATTCCATTATTTTCTTTTATGCTCCAGGGGTAAGTTGCAAGGAAATTTTATAATTATTTTGTGACCTTGACCTTCGACCTTATCACATGCACTAGGTTTTGATAAGGGAACATATAATGAAAACTTGGTTAAGCAAAAAACCAAAAAGAAATGAACTCACCGAGTAACAAGGGGATGCAATGTCCAGATGAATCCAGGATCCAGAGTAGTCAAAGCCAATATGAGCCCCAATAAACAGACCTGCACATGAACTCTGGGCATTGCTACGATCCTAAGTGATACAAATAAATGTGTGACTATATATGTACATATACAACTGATAAAGAGCTATGCTTGATACATTGTATGGTTTCAATGAAATACTGCCAATACTGTACTTTACGCTTAAGCATTATTATTCATCTAATATATATTCAGGTTGCATTTTTATGTCAAGCGGTGAAAAAGACTACAGGAGTAATAAAAATATTCATTGGAATAACTTCTTGAGTTTCTGAAGTCAAAATCATATATGTATTTGAGTATTCATTACTGTTACATTTTATATATGCTTCAGAACACACATGGATGCATCTTCTTCATGTATATATGAATATATAGTATACAGTAATCTTTCACCTCTTAAATCAGTATGCATAGCTATAATATAAAAATGCACAGCCTTAGCATTTGTTTGCATTATAAAAATGCATAATAATTAACCTAATTGTGTTCAGATGTGTCAATTCTGATCGGAGGATTTTTTTTTACTTACTGCTACTGAGTTCTTCATGTCTGCAACTGCACTACCAAACTCACTAAAATGCAGCTCAGGACAATAAACCAGAGGAAAGACAAGATCTCCACTGTTTTTACCTAAAATATGATAGTATAATTGATTAAAATCTGTTTTAAAGAGGTATGAAAAAAAAATTACAGAATTGTTTACATTAAGTTTGTACAGTATTCATTGAATGTGGAATCGGCTTCTTATTTTCAGTCTGATGTAAATCAGGGGTTGGCATAAAAATTGGTCGGAGGCCCAAAGTGAATTTTTTATTTAACACCGAGGGCCGCACCAAAACTTAAAAATATCTCCAGTGAGCCGTCAAAAACATCCAAGCACTGCTTTTGCACCACTTTATTCTCTTTTAATGTTACTTTTTACATATGATCGGTATTGGGCCTAAAGAACTTGTTTCCTAGCCAATGTTGCTTGTCGGACAGCACACATGGGGTTTTTAATTCATTTTTGCTTTGCCACCTGTGATGTAAATGGACACCGTTTATTTCAATTCGTTAATGTTTTAATGATTACATGTTTTTTTTTGTGTAATGTGCCATAGGCCTCAATATTTAGTCATCACAATTGCCTAAAGCTCTGTCCAGACTTGCATTATATTTAACAAAAACATGTGACATACCTAAATATGGTCATAATGACATCACACCATTTTTTGATTTGATTTGATTTATTTTGCATTCAATATCACACACATAACAATAACATTTTGAGAACGAACATAAGAAAAAAAAGAGTTTAATAATTAATTGAATGCCTGGATGGCCCATTAAGTCTAGTGATTGTATACCTGACTTATTTCCAATGGGGTCCAGAAGCCAGGGTAATTATTGCACAAGAGCGAATATTTACAGATAGTGATCAGGCAAGGTTTAGAATATATAGTAAATGATATAAAATAGATAAACATACGCCAATTTAAAATTAAAAATTGAAAAAAATTGTAAAAAAGTGAAAATTGAACATTAAAATTACTAATTGAGTAAATATAAAAACTGTATGTAGTAAAGGATAAAAACATGAAACATTAAAAATCAGTAAGTAAAAATTCTTTAAGCTTTTGTATGCCCATATATAGTCATGACCTGTTGTATGCCCATATATAGTCATGAGATGCCTATATATGGGCATACAACAGTTTATTGTCAAAGAAAATTTCATGATCTGGACAGAGCATTATGATTGACAAGCTTTTCAGTTCATTCATTACAAAAACTTTTTTGATAAATTATTTGTTACTTTGCAAAAAATAGAATCGTCTACCTGCTTTGACAGTTGCCTGTTCCCACTGTTCCGTGTTGGTGAGTACAGCGGAGTGATATTTCCCGGTGGATATGCCTTGTGCTCCGGTTAGTGTGGCCATATCCAGAATAATATCAGACTTCAGATCTTTTACGGCATAAGCAACCTGTTAAAAAATTAAAAATTTAAAAAATAAAATTATATATATTTTTTTTTTCCAAAAACACTTTGGCTTAACATCAGATGAAAGTTTCCATTTTACTTAGTTGTGTGTGCTATCCCTTCAAAGTTTCTATTTCTTTAGCTTAGCTAATGTTTGCGCGAAAATTCTTTGATCTGTCCCAAACCCTGAAAGTGTCTATACAAGGGGAATTATACAATAATAAGCATGATTGAATACAATGATTTGTACTATATGTGTGCTTATGTATTGACTAGAATAGACCTTTCTGTTAAGCCCCGCCCCTTGGATATTCTTGCTAAGGCTCCCGTTTGTGGGACACACATATTTCTAGCCCTGTTCTGATTGGTCAGTCGGTAAGTTTGATTGGCACACATGTAAGGTCAACTGTGGGTCAATAATTGTGCGCAGCTTACCCCATCCCCAAGAACCAGCCTTCCTTCAGCATCTGTATTATTTATCTCAACAGATCTGAAGCGAAAAAAAAAAAAATGTGATCATCAAATCATTTTGTGAGATAATAAGTAAAAACAACTAAACATGATTTACTAAAAATATACAAATTGGGGCAATGGAATTAGTAGGGAGCTTTTGATTGCAGGAAGACGGTTGGACGTAGAACGTAATGACGTCACTAAATTTCATCTGCGCATGCGAGAACATTAAGGTCACCTCGTGAAGTAGATTCTGGAACGCAATTTGACCAAATCTACGTATGCAGAGAACGTAGGACGCCAGTTACGACGGTCACGCATGAGTGATTCCGTTCTAGCGTCACACAAAGCGAAAGCTTCCTATTTATCATTTATGAACATACACAAAAAAAATTCAATTGGAATTCTATTAAATAACATGATATATCATTGCCTTCAGTTTTTCTTTTTAAATTTCTTAACCTTTAATAAGTCAAAGGCATATTAAAAGAGGCTATTTAACTTGTTGTTAAGATGCCTGCCTTCCAATTCCAGGGTCTTGGGTTCTAATCCCATGACAGCACAATATATTTCTCATGATTAAAATACATCTCCACTACCTAAGCCTTGTATGAGACTTAGTTTATAAAGCAGTTTATCAGCTAAACTGGAAGGGTCACCCTCTATAAAAACATGCACACAGCAAGAAAATCATTTTTGTTCATTACCTCCCAGAATACAGGATATGTACATCATCAGGACGTGTTGCTAGGGGTCCAACTGCATTCTCTGCCAGACAGAACACAGCATTCAAATTTTCTTTAAAACCCTAGGAAATTTGTATAAACAATATGGAGGTTCAATAAATATGTAAAATTGAATCAATAAGAAGGTGGATGGATGGATTTATTCGGTGTAAACACCAAAGATAACCCATGAAAGTTTGTAGAAGGCATATTTCCAGTGGGGTCCTTCTTCTGGTGGTGATTGGGCAACACACCAGGAGGATTAACCTCTACAATGGTGTGCTGTCTCAACTTGCATTTCAGCACTCCAGCAGCAATGGGAATTGAACCGGGGACCAAGAGATCTCCACGGTCCAGCGCACACACAGTGTGGCTACCACCAATTTAGCTGACTGGAGCTAAGCTGCTGCTCGAATGTTACGAGAATGTTATGTTGTTAATGCTGGTAGGCAGATTTTATTACCGTTGTTGATATCTACAATAATGTATGCAATGCTTTTCATAGTCAGCAGCAATTGTGTAGGTTCATAGATGCTACTTTAAACCTAACAGTTGAATAGCATTTGCATCTGAGTTATATCAACGTCTGGTTATATAAAAAAACTTTTTATGTTTTTAATATGAAATGCCATTGGTGTCAAAATTGATTTATTTTTAAGCGTTTTAGTTTGATTTGTTACTATCTGTAACAATAAATTTATTTAATACATGCATATAGTTAAGTATAGTAGGACAACTTGTAATATGAAAACTGTAGGCCTATTTGATAACAAAGTATTTTGTTTATATCCGATTACTCACTAGTTTAACAGCAGCTACAAAGGCACCAAGGATTGCAGCAGCACCACCACAGTCCCGCTTCATCCCTGGCATGGCAGTCTAAAAATATCAGACAATCATTCAAAATTGAATACATTATTCTGGCTTTAAATCCATTGAAAGTTTTTGTCGCAAGATATTGCATGACAAATAACAACAATAATAATAACTAGTGCTAACTCGGATTTAAGGAGAATATCTTTTGTGTTATTTTCCCCTTAACGTCATGTTATTTTCCCATTAACATCGTCTTTTTAATTGTTCTCTAATTTCTCCATTGTCTAAGTTCCTCTTAAAAAGGTAGGTTTTAGTAACATAATAATAATAATAATAATAATAATAATAATAATAATAATAATAATAATAATAATAATAATAACAAATTTTCTTTTTTTGAATATATACCAAAATTATATTTCAATTATTATGTAATATTTCAAGTGAGCATTTATATAGCGCCTTTCCATTTGGTGGTTATGAAGCACTTTCATCCCTCATCATTGGGTTCACATGCTTAAGATTTGCTGCTGTTATGAGGGCAGGAGTAGTCAACACCACCAGGTATCCATTTATACTCCTGGGCTGACAGAAGCTAATGCAGATAAAAGTGCCTTGCTCAAGGACACAAGCGAAATGAACAGCGAGGGATTGAAACCCTGACCTCAAGGTCGGAGAAACTAGCCATTACCACTGTGCCAAGCTGGGTTCACATGAATCTTGAGTGAAACTCATGTTTGCAGGTCCTGGCTGATAGGGATGGATGGGTGGTGTGATGTGTGGGGTTGGGGGTTGGCTGCTAGGCCTGTCCAAGGAAGGACCCTAAGCCCCCTTCATTTTTGTCGTCACTAGATATTACATACCTTCCCTTTGATTGACAGTCCTCCAGTGTCATAGACAATACCTTTGCCTACCCAGCTTATAGTCTGAGTAGCGGCTGCCGATGTATGTTTAAGTATAACCAGTGCCGGGGGATGGTCAGCTGCTTTGCCTACTCCATAGATGCCTACGGGATAAATCAACATAAATGTTTGTTACATAATACCATGATACCATAGTCTCTACGCAAGATAGACTGGCCAGTGGATACAGTTTCACAAATGCAGTTATAATCCTTCCGCTCCAGCGGCAGATCCAAAAAGTTGATATAGATGGGGCACATGGTGAGTCTTTTACAAGGACAAATTCCAACCCCTTTCACCCTCCCCACAAACCTGTCCCTGCGCTCTCAGGAGAATTCATAGACGAGCTAAATTTATTCAAAATTGTTTACATCCTATAAGGAACCAACTTCAAACTGGGTTATGAGAAACAGTCATAGACAAAGTGTCTATCAGAAGGACATAGGCAGTATTGTCCAGTACCGTAAAACCTCAAACTGAAGCCCAATGGGCTTAATATAGAAAAGAAGGCCATCTCGAATTGAAGCCCCACTCTTCATGGGCTTCTTTTCAAGGTAGCATAGGCTAGTACAGTACATACCCTGTACATTCATTTCTCACAAACTGTAATTTAAGACTTTGAAGTAGTTTAAGGTTTTTTTCACCTAAAAGTTGCAACTCTCTTACTTGAGCCGGCGTCGCCACTTTAACAGCGCACGGTAGCAGAGCCGAGGCTTATCCAAGGTGGAAGCTACTGGAGCCCAGCAAACTGTTGCCGGGGTACCTGCGCGTACACGGTTGTGTTGGCGACGCCGTATCAACACCGAGAGTGCACATTTCTCTTCTCTTTCATGTTTGTGGTTTGTTTTTTGCCAATTTTTTTTTTTTTTTTCCAATCTGACTTTGTGTCTGTATACTATCAGTGCACTGAGACGATTTTATTATATTTTTACACCTGAACCAATAAATAAATAATTACTTAAAACAGATTTAAAAAATAAATAAATAACTAAATACAAGTAAACAGAAATTAAAAAAACCCAATAAATTAACTAAATTATATACATGTATATATATATATAAATGTGATTAATATGACTTTACCTCCAAAACCACGTTCATCAAGTTCTTCACCTCTGACAATCACTGGCTCAATGCCCAAACTTCTCCCAACGTTTTTAATTTCCTGTTGGACATAATGTACTTGTATTTAAATATATTGCCTTCAATATAAAATCAATAGATTCAAAATTGTTTACATCCTATAAGGAACCAACTTCAAACTGGGTTATGAGAAACAGTCATAGACAAAGTGTCTATCAGAAGGACATAGGCAGTATTGTCCAGTACCGTAAAACCTCAAACTGAAGCCCAATGGGCTTAATATAGAAAAGAAGGCCATCTCGAATTGAAGCCCCACTCTTCATGGGCTTCTTTTCAAGGTAGCATAGGCTAGTACAGTACATACCCTGTACATTCATTTCTCACAAACTGTAATTTAAGACTTTGAAGTAGTTTAAGGTTTTTTTCACCTAAAAGTTGCAACTCTCTTACTTGAGCCGGCGTCGCCACTTTAACAGCGCACGGTAGCAGAGCCGAGGCTTATCCAAGGTGGAAGCTACTGGAGCCCAGCAAACTGTTGCCGGGGTACCTGCGCGTACACGGTTGTGTTGGCGACGCCGTATCAACACCGAGAGTGCACATTTCTCTTCTCTTTCATGTTTGTGGTTTGTTTTTTGCCAATTTTTTTTTTTCCAATCTGACTTCGGGTCTGTATACTATCAGTGCACTGAGACGATTTTATTATATTTTTACACCTGAACCAATAAATAAATAATTACTTAAAACAGATTTAAAAAATAAATAAATAACTAAATACAAGTAAACAGAAATAAAAAAAACCCAATAAATTAACTAAATTATATACATGTATATATAAATGTGATTAATATGACTTTACCTCCAAAACCACGTTCATCAAGTTCTTCACCTCTGACAATCACTGGCTCAATGCCCAAACTTCTCCCAACATTTTTAATTTCCTGTTGGACATAATGTACTTGTATTTAAATATATTGCCTTCAATATAAAATCAATAGATAGTAATAAGGCAATTTAAAATCTTATACTTATAATATTCAAGAATATTTAAGTAGTACTCTAAATAGTATTTATTTATATAATGATAATAATAATAATAATAATATATTTAATATATTACCTAATAAATAGTCATGTTAAAATAAATCTATTACAATTCAAAAAGTAGATTTGCTTCAACTTTGGAGGAATAAAAACAGCTTTGTGAATAAAAATTCAATGGGGCATATTCCTATTCCCCAAACTTGTAAGTAGTATGTTGGCCAAGGGTAGGGTGAGGTGGTATGTGGGGTGGGGAAGTCAGGACAGTATTTATACTGTAAGGTAATAATAAAAATAATAATAATAATAATAATAATAATAATAATAATGATGATGGATGGTATATATAGCATATTGTTATTGTAACCCCAGTCATTGGATTAAACAAAAAAGACAAACTCAAGCTCCCTGGGGGAGTATTCCATAACGCTCACAGCAGCTACAGTACATCAGCGAATTTTGGCATTTAACCCTACATAGGTACCTACTTATACTCCTGGATGGATAGAGAAACAACGCACAAAAATTGCCTTGCCCAAGGACACAATTGAAATGCACAGCGAGGGATTGAAACCCCAGCCTTGAGGTTGGGAAACCAAACGAATCCTGCAGCGCCGAACAGGTAATTGACTTGCCTCAATAAAAGCATCTGTGTGCATTTCGTTGCAAGGTGCATCCACTATACGGCCTGTTAGACGGATGCCTTCGGAAGCCTCTTGCAAACACTTCATCTCGTCTTCGCTCAGGCTCTGGTTGCTACCCTCTCCAACAAGAATGAATTCCACAGTTACAGTGCGTTTCCGCAGTTTATTTGCACCTGTCTTACGGGAATACAACGGAAACGCACGTGCAACAGCACAACCAGATGCAAACACTGACTTCCGCTCACAAACAATCTTTTGAGATATAAAAAAAATATGCACCTTTAAAGATGTACTGTCCCTTGCAAAAAACAAAAAAAAAAAAAACATAAAAATCATTTTTAAAATTTACTTGCCCATTTTGAAGTAACATAAATATTATCAACTTGAACATAGAAATTAGTGTACTTTAAAAATTCTTACCCATAAAAACCATAATTTTACATCGAAAAAATTATAGAAACACTTCCAATCACTGGAAGCGTTTTATTATCTTTATTATAACTATCCAGTTAAAAAATCAGGGAACACATTTTTTTAATTTAATAATTACTATGCTCAAGTTAATAATTTGTATGTTACTGCAAAATGAGTAAGTTAAATTAAAAATAATTTTTTATGATTTTAGTCATTTTCAAAGGACAGTACTGTATATCTTTAATTCTATCCATTCATTGCAATGCAGTCCATAATTATGTAATGTTGTTCCCTGCAATGTCATATTTAGTATTATATACCACATACAACTATAGATTCCAGACATCTGATTGGTTTTAAAGCACCACTCCTATGACATAGGTTGAATGATAGTTCAGTAATTCCTTTCGGGGTGAAAAAAGTACTATCACGTTTTTTCCTATCGCGATGTAATCTTTAGGTCCCACTTATAATGTTGCTGTGTAATTGATGGCACACAACAAGAGTAAAAGGGACTGCAACTTCTATGACGAGAGATTGTCCCTTTGACCTATCCACGGATCAGCGAGTACTTTCAATTGATGCCTAGCCTAGGCCTACTTGGTGGGTACTCTTTTCATTACTTTTTTTTTGGCCTAGTAGAATCTATGTATGAAATATATAGAACAAATATTGACTGCTCTAAATTCGGGGGAACGGTGAATTTATATATCCTCTTTGATGGGAAGGCTGAAGGGAAGATAGTCTCCACTCCACAGCTAGGTCTCCACATCACCTCTGGGCAACAGATTTCACCGTTCCCCTCATGTGCACACAATAAATGTATAATGTACATTGTCCTAATATTATATTTTTTTCCAAATTTCTATTCTGAATAATAATTAAAATTTTGAATATAATTGTTAAAGTTTTATGTTATGTTATGGCATAGCAATATAAAACACAAGATAAACAAAGCATAACAGGATGCTTTCATCAAAGAATACTGGACAGAAACTAATACCGAGTATGAAACAATCATCCCACCACAAAACCAAAAGTGAAAAATACATTAACTTACAACTACACACTCATCTCCAACATTTGTCAAGTATGCTTTCACCAGCTTCGGAATGGCATGAGCTCTTGAGGGCGTGTTATGCCTACTAGCTTTCAGGGGTAGAGAAGCAACAGTTGCATTGTTGAACCATATTGATATATGATCAGTTGGAGATGGCTGCAGCGACGACACAGCAACTTTAAAAGTCTGCAAATATATAAAAAAAGTTTGAGTCAATAATCAGCAGCTTAGACCAAAAGTTAGAGTAAAGGTCTCTGAAGATGAATTTATAAAGTTTGAAACTTTGAATAAAAATAACCAAGTATCACTTTTTTAGAATTTTTTTTCATACAATGAATTTGCTTCATACAATCCTGTACAAGGTCCTGTATTGCAATTTCTGCGTATTAATCCTATCTATAAGCAAATACTCTGATGTCAAGAGTTTCTGTGTAAACTACTGTACCAAACTTTGAAAAGAATGAGAGAATTATGGGGAAGTTCCCATCCGAAAATTTACAAAATTAATAAATATCCTTTGAGAAAATTAGGAAAGTCATATATTTATTACTCTCTGTTTTTTCCTCCTCAAGATTACTGTTGTTTTTTATATTTTTGAAGTTTCTGCATATTCATTTCTCATTCACTGTGTGAGCAGCCTGTGAAGTTAGCAAACTCTGTAAGCAAATACTTTGCACAATTTCCAAGTTGCAAACTGTACAAAGGAAATCTTGGTGGGTCCTGGAAAATAGCAATGCTTGAACTGATGAGTTTACCCAGAGGGTAAAGGTGAAATAAATAAAAATAAAATACAATTTGCAAACTGTGCAAGAAATTCTTGGCACAGTTTTATAACTGTGCAAAGAAACGGCTCAGCTTTTAAATTGTGCAACAAGAACCTCGCAAGCCGAAGCCTTAATTACTGCTTCAATAAAAGTAGGGAGATGAGCGTACCCTAGTTACCCTATCTAAAAAAAATACTAGGCATAGGCCTAACTAGTAGTAGTAATAATAGGGCGCTAATGCACTTTCGCACCTAACTTTTAATTCTTTATTTTTTTACCTCAATGTTCTTCTCACAGTCACAACATATAATTAACAAACATGTTCACATGATTTAACCACTCACAAAGTACCTTTTTCAACAAATAATCCCACAAATAAGTACAGCGAATCTGTGTTCGCAAGCATGACGAGCGGCTGCCATTTTGCAATCTGTATTGCCAGAATGTCTGAGTTTGCAGCGTGAAGCTTTTTGATTAAACGTTTATGAAAACTTATCTATTTGCGGTATTGTATGTCATTCTTTATATTGTATGCTGCTGTTGTTTGACTATGTGTGTTCACATGAAATTCACACGTACAATAATTACTTCAAAAATTAGTAATAATTCAAATGCGTACACAGGTCGAAAAATAGGGCCTAGGGTAGGGGCCTAGGCCTAAATCCAGAAAAACAACTATTAAAGCCAATGATAAATGTCGAATCGATTAACCTCGATTTGAACGACAAGAAAGTTCAAAAAGATGGTACTGCCAAATTTTGTTGTCAGATGTTTCATGGGAAAATTCCAATTAATATTATAAGACTGGCCTTTAATGGTTTCAAAATTTAAGAATTGACTCGGACATTCTGGCAATTTCTTACTTGATTGCAAAAAAGTACAGCTCGTCGTGCTAGCAAGCGCGGAAATCCTGTATCAACCTATATAAAGGTATCTTTTTGTTGAAAAAATGTATTTTATGAGTGGTTGAATCATGTAAAAATGTTTTATAATTATGTGTTATGACTGTGAGAAGAAAATTCAGGTAAAAAAAAAATAAGAATTAAAAGTTAGGTGCGAAAGTGCATTAGCGCCTATGTTTTGCTGGAATGTAGGTAGGGCCTAGGCCCTAGGCTAGTAGGCCTAGGCCCTAGGCTAGGCCTATGCTTTTGTTTTAGAAAAAAGAACACTGAAAAGACACAGAGTTCTAATTTTAGATTAGGACTAGGGCCTAATAATAAATGTAGTAAAATTATAATAATCATTTCAGTTTCAAAGTGCATTTATTCATATCATCACTGAGCTTAGCCTAGGCCTAATTAGATGACACCCTAGGCCAAGCTAGGCCTTTGCCTGGCTCGGTCATGGCCCAAAAACAGGTGGTGCAGGGGACTTACCTCCTCATCGACCCGAGCGCCGAATTTAGTTTTAACAGCCTCGAATGAAAGTGTAGTTAGATGTCCAATCTGTCCTATAATGACGACAGGTCGATCATTTGGATCTGAGGTACTATTACCTGCACTGTAATGCAAGGTTACATTAGACATTATATTATAAATTACTAATCAATTGAAGTACGTAATGAAAAGATAAACACCCACTTCCTCTTCAGACTTCTGTCGTATTTTGGTTTGGGTTTTTTTCCCTGAGACACCTTGACCTGACCTCAAGCCTGAAGGAAGTTGATGGTTTATACCAAAAATACGTAAAATAAATGAAAACGAAAATATAAAGGTTTGAATTATTACTTAACTAAATAAATTTTGCAATAAATGCTGTGTTTATAAATACATTTGAATTTCCATCTAGTTTGCGATCTTATGACGTCACGTTGAGCGTCATGTCTTGTGAAAGATGCGTGCTTCATTATGTAAACTCCAACTGCTAAATGTTATCAATCGATCAATCAATCGATTAGTCCATCAAGCAATCAATCAATTTTAACAAATCAGGAAGAATTCGACAAGAAACTACTGTTAAAACAAACCGGTTAAAAAATTCATTCATACCACACACATGTCAGCTCTACAATAAAATATCAATTCTCCAATAATCACTGTAGATTAGGTTCCATATAGTTGTTTTAATCAACAGATCAATCAATCAATCGATCAATCGATCGATCAATCAATCAATCAATCAATCAATCAATCAATCAATCAATCAATCAATCAATCAATCAATCAATTAATCAATCAATCAATCAATCAATCATTTAATCAATCAATCAATAAATCAACTAGTCAACTAACCTATTAATCAAGCCACTTTAATATATTATACTGTATTTAAAATTATTATATTCAGATAAAACATAAAATCAAATTATGATCAAAGACATCATTATATCATTATATCATCATTGTCTTCGATCTCCATCATCATCATCATCATCGTCACTATCATCATCATAATCTTTATCATGTCATCATCACATTATTTTCAGTTTTAGCATCACTAAACACCTTATAAATATTATCTTATCTTATCATCTTCATTAATATTATCACCATCAATCACCACCACCACATCATCATCACTGCCACCACCAACATCATCATCATCATTGTCATTGTCATTAATTACCAATCATCATCATCTCTTATTATAGAATTCATTTCGTCATCAGCGCTTGGCTCTGTGGAATCTTCCATTTATGCTGTAGATTTTATATTTACGTCTCATTATTGTTTCACAAAGAAACAATAAATAACACAAACTGAAAAATACCCCATCAGAATACATATTTTAAACACAAATTTCAGGTTAATACTTTAACTGTTGGTAACGTTAATATTTAAATTACGTATCATCATACCCCATGTTGAAAATGGTTTTTACCATCAGTGTAAACAAAACACCAACAGCTAGCGAAAAGTGAAGTGTAGTAAATAATTATTCTTTCGTCTTGGGAAGGGGAGTTGCTGGTGTTGTAGCAAAAGAAAAGATGCTAAGGAACATTTTAAGACTGGGCTAGGTTAACTGTCGTTATTTATAAAGATGACAAAACTACTTAAAAACCCTATACATGCAGAGCAGCTCTTGCAAAGCCTCCAAGAACTGAAAAAGGATACGAAACACTGTGACCTTATTCTGGTCATAGATGGGAAGGAGTTTAACGTTCAGCAGAGCGTGCTCTGTGCAGCTTCTCCGTACTTCAGGTAAGCCCTGGATGCAAGACTCTAGCAAGTGGCGTAGGCCTAGGCCTAGCTCTCTCTCTCTGCAAGTTTACATTAAATCCAAACTGATTGTTTTGTTTATGCGTTCATTAATCCTTCCAGAGTTTTGGTAGGTCATTTTAATCATTAATTTGTTAATTGACAATGTCAAATTAAGTTTTCTTTTAGCTGCGTTTTGAACGGCCCAACCATTTTTTATTTTAGAGATTTAAAAAAATTGTGTATAACAAATGGCTACCGTAATAGGCCTAGATCTGTAGAATTACTTGTTTAACAAAGTGTGTGTTTTATGTGCAGTTTGACTGCTTTGCACAGTTTGCAAGCTGCACGAGAACCTTGCGCAGTTTGTAGAAATCATGCACATTTTGCTACCTCCCTGATTGAGAACCTTGCTCAGTTAGTAAACCATTGCAAAATTTTAAACTATATAAGAGGATCCTTGCACAATTTTCAAATTGTGCGGACAATTCGTAATTACTGTAGTAGTAGGCCTAATCTATGACTGCATTAACCAAATCAGAATTGTGAACATTAAACGTAATTGTCCTACTGTCTTGTTTTCTAAAGTATCAATGTAATCAATTTACCAGGGGCGGCGCCAGCTGGGGTTGGGGATAAGGGACCCCGTTGGGAATCTCTGGACAACCCGGATGGACACCTCTGTCGGGGAATTGCCAGCAAGGTTGACGGAGAAAAAAAAATCAAATGTCGCGAGCGCCGAAAGTACAATTAAAACATACCTTTAAGCTGTCAAATTTTAGGGCATAAAAACTTGTTTAGTGCGAGCAGTGCTACGATATGTGGGAGGTGTTGTTTACTATTGCGATTGTATGGGTTGCATTAGTGGTGCCAGCTCTTCCCCGAAGGGCTGGTACCTCCGACAGGGGGTTAGTACCCCCGACAGTGGGACTAGTACTTCTGACTCAGAAAGGGCAATTAAAGGACTCTTAAACTTGCATGGTTTTCTATATCCTTTTAAAATAAAGAACCTCATAATTAACACAAATTTGTTTTACTTGTTAATAAAAAAAAACCCAGAGGGGCGGGGGTGTGTGGACGCCTTCTTGGGGAGCTTGGATCCCTTGTCGAGGAATTCCTGGCAACTCCCCAGCAATTTACGTCAGTGACCACCGAATATTCTGATTAGCAGAATGGTTAAAATTAATAATAATTAATATTGCCTATAACAGATCTGCCAACCCTTGGGTCATGAAAATCTGGAGATTTTTTCAAGAATCTTAAAAAAATCTGAAGATTTACCAAAAAATCTGGAGGTTTCCAGAATTAACCAAAAGATGATGCAAGATACCAAAAAAGTCACGTCACTACAAATCATTGGCCGTTAATGGCGACATTCGAATTGAAAATGGTTGTTGTTTATTGCACCACAAAGCGAGCAGGCGGCGAATACATTGAATACTAACGATCAAATCAATCAAATTATGAATGGGGTGGGGGGGTGGCCTGGCCTGTGGAATCGGGTGAAAATTACGTTCAATCGGGAGAACTGGAGATTTGTTTAAATATCGGGTGACACCGACAGGATCGGGTGAGTTTGCAGGTCTGCTATAATGTAGTACATTCCCCTGCTATTTTTCACCTTTGTTTATACAATTTTATACATATTAATTCCCATCATTGGCCAACGCGATTCCAAGGTGAATGCAATGCCACGACGTGTGCGCTACGAATCGTTTTTAAATGACGATCCGTTCAGACTGCCACTGATGATCAGCAGACGTCTGACGCCCACAGGGAATATAATTTAAATTGGGTTTTAATCATCGGCTGACGGTCGTACAACTGTCGTTTAAGATTCCGTAAGTGCCCGGCATTAAGTGTCAAAATAATCAGTGGATTTTTGTTGCAGGTCTCTGTTTGACTATGAAGGCAGATTTTGTCTAGAAACTAGAAATGGCAAAGCTGTGAAAGCCATTGACATAGATGAACTGAGTGCTGAGACATTTGACCAGATATTAAAGTTTACCTACTCAGGAGAAATTGAGCTGAATGAGGAGAATATACAGGACATACTGCAAGCCGCTGATGTACTTTTAATGGCTGATCTAAAGAACCTTTGCTGTGAATTCCTTGGTAATAATCTCACTGTATATAACATTTTATTGAATATTTACTGCATACTAATAGGCAGGCTATAATCGGTATTCCTTAAGGTGATTACCTGGATCCCATCAGAGGTCCAATGCCCCGTGTTGGGATCAAGGGAAAGAGCTTTAGTGGGGTCATACAGCAGGGCAACCTGAAGGTGAAGCATTCTATTTCATCAATTATTTTGATGGTATTTGATACAAGGAGGAGGGATGTTGGTTTAGTTTATAGCGAGTTACTCGGAAAGGGCAGTTCAGCCATACCACCTGATTATAGGTCTGGTAGGGTGTAAGTAGAGTGTGTCGGAGTGGGGTGGGTGTTGTAAGCAAAACAAAATTTTGCTTGTACTTGTATTGTTAAGAATTTACTCCATGAAAATTAGTTAGGGCAGACACAGATAATAGGTACATGAGGAAGGACTACATATAAAATATATAATTTAATTAATTTTAACAAAAACATGAAAACAGTCACAGATATTTTTCTTTTATTCTAATCCCAAGACAAATAGATAGATTCTACAGTAGTATTTGCAATATGATTTTTAGGGGTATCCTCGAAGACCATTAATAAAAAATACAGGTATATATGATTCAACCATGTAAAACTCGTACAATTGTCATTTAGCTGGTGGTGTTTTTAGTGGGGATTAACGACATCACTTTAAAAACTACTATATGTGCTGTACCAGAACTAAATTTGACGATATAAAAACTATAATATAAAAAGTAAATAAAAAAAATGAAGAGATCACAAATCATCTGTACTTCTGTAGGCGAGACTTTTTTTATACCTTGTTTAGCGGACCCACCGCCTACCAATAATGATGATTAAAAATAAAATTAAATAAAGTAAGATATGTATGGCTACGTTCAGACTTGGAGATAAGCCAGACTTGAGGTAAGCCCGGCTCAACGTTAAGGCTTAACTTTGCCGGGCGTTCAGACTAGCGGGTTTAGCCAGGCAAGAATTTGCATAATAATGAACCGTAACCAGGAAACGTGTTTCAAAACATTGCTTGCGAAACGTACGCTCCCTCACGGCGTATGTAATTGAATGCTGATTGGTCATTTCGTCATCCGAACTCAAGGCAAACCCCCTCCCCCCGCAATGATTAAAGCCTGGCTTAGAAAAGTTAAACATGGTGGCGCGTCAGGCCTAGTTACTATAGGAACACAACACAGCCCGGCTTGAAATAAGCCACCTAGTTCAGACTGGCAGGTGGATAAACCCTGTGAGTTGAGCCGGGTTTATCCACCTAGTCTGAACTAGGCCTATATTTCTTCCTTTAAATTATATAAATTTAAAGTGATCATTTAACCATCCCATTACTACACTGTTTCAAACATCAATATAATTTTATTTTTGTTTTCTCATTCGTCTAGATGTTTTTGGCAAAACTCTTTGCTAAATGAAAAACCACAATTTCAGTTTTATTTTTTCCGCCGTCCTCTGACCATGTTAAAAAAATAAGTTTGCGAATCAAGGTATAAAAAGAGTCTTGCCATATATATTAATGTTTATGCTTTTTAAATTGTTTGGCGTGGTAATTATGTTTTATAATTGTATATGTGAGTGTAATTATAAACTTGCTTATTTCTTGTCATAGAGGATTGTATCTGCTCGTCAAATTGTCTTGGAATCAGGAATTTCACCGAACTCTACTCATGCCCTCGGGTGCATCGCTTAGCAACAGATTGGCTGGAAACAAATTTTGAATCAGTCACAAAGGAGGAGGAATTTCTGCAGTTGCCATTTGAAAAACTTGAAGAAATTGTTGGCATGGATAACCTTAGTGTAAGTGTAAGATATTATTCCATCCTAATATTTAGAAAAAAAAAATTCTTTCTTTAATGCATATATTTTCTTGACACTAAACAAAATATTTTTTATCATTTTAAATATGTACCGCATTAAATGAAATTTTATTCTTTGGTTACAGTTTCTTTGAAATACAGTTCTTCAAGCATAAAGAAAAATTTGAATAAATTAGCAATTTATATACATCATAATAACTAAATTTAAATAATACGCATTTTAATATCTTAAAATGACATTTAGGAAATACTTCCATAAATAACTCCAATAGGAAATGAATGGTAAACACACAGAGGATTTCATATAAATGTAAATTTATATGTGGAATGTAATTTTTATGTTAAATTTAATTAGAAACATAAATTTAACTTCATCTTTTTAAGTAGCTTTAATCATGAACCATCAATAAATCACTCTTGCCTGAGGCCTTGTTTTAGTAAAGAATCCCAATCTTCAGAATTTCAGGTATATAGCTACTGCGCAGACTTGCATTCTAATTTTTTTCTCATCTAGTTAAGAGTACATTTTTTTCCAGTCAAGACAGGCCAACTTGGCATAGTTTCATCATTCGGGTCACCAGTGGTCAGCAACAACTAGATATTGACTACAAGAGAGTATAAAAATTTACCATTAACGGAAAGATTTTCATTATGCTAATGTAGAGAGTAGCATAGTGCAGTTCATTTAAACTCTGGTAGCATCCACTTTGTGTGTGCTGAGCCATTGAGACCCTGAGTTCCTAGTTCTTGGTAAAATACAGATTATATACAGCTCACTGTTTTCTAGAGAGATGTTGGCACGGTATACAATTATGGCTTATGCATATGTAATAAAGAATGCATACATTATTAACAACAACCTTCAGTTTTTTAACTTAAAACTAATCCTCTAAATTGAGGCATGTCGTGGCAAAATGGTTAAGTTGTTGCACAGGCCAGTATTCGGTTAATGAGCTATAACATATGCAAGCTCAAGAAAAATTACCTAAAAATCAAATTGTTTATTTCACATGTCACAAAGTCTTGGATCTGGAAATGGTCAACAAACTGTTTATTTAATGTTATTTTGGTAGTTAATTTGATTAAACAATGTATGCACAAATAACTATGGAAGGCAATAATACTCAAAATAGTGTTTACAGTATCTTGATTTTAAGAGTGCTGTACTTTCACTGAGCCTCAACACCACCCTAAATTTGCCAGTCCCAAAGGTGGTGTCGAATTAAAAAGTGTACTATACTTGTAATAATGTACCAAGATCATTTGGATCAAACACCAGATGGACTACATCATTATTTGGCTCCTTAGGAGAGTAAATCTATTTTGAATCAGCACATTGTTTCCCCTGTTTATGAAATTATACCTATGTTTGTACATTTATTCAAATATTAAATAATCAAGCCAAAAATATTCTCTTTATAATTATTCAACTGTAATTTTGTTGTTTAGAAGTGTAGTTTAATTTTTTTTTTTGATAGTGTGTTAATATTTTCATCAGTTATTTATGATTATCCAATTATGGTACTATATTTTATGCTTTTTTAATGTTCCTTGAACTTAGGTATCGCAAAACAGATGTGAATTTGTTATCCTGGAAGCATCACTGCAGTGGATACAGTACGATGAGAAGTACCGCAGCGTACATCTTGCCAGGCTCCTGGAATTAATCAGATGGGGGAGTATACCAGCTAACTTGCACGATGAGGTATTACAGAACCCATTGGTAAGCGCAGATGAACAAGTGAGAGAACTTGTGCAGAAATACCTTGTGAATCCAATACCAGCAAATATGAGAGGCTACAAGAATGTGATCATGGTGGCTGGAGCCTTTAAGTAAGTATACAGTGAGGGAAGGAGGTGGGGGTTTAGTTGTGGATCCATCATGGGGAGGGGGATGGACCTTCTTGCCTAGCACCAGCAAATATGAGAGGCTACACGAAATAGGATCGTGGTGGCTGGAGCCTTTAAGTAAGTACAGTGACGTAAAAGGGGAGCAGGTAGGGGGTGGTAAGTGAAGATTCATGGCTAGGGGGATGGACCTTCTTGTCTAGCACTATAGTCAATATGTTTACAATCTGAACTTATTAATGTATATTACATGGACTAGTAAAGCTGAACATACAGTAATATGATTAAGTCAAACCTAAGGGATTTTAAGCTATTTTCATACATTAGAAGGAAATACAGTACATGTATGGCAGATATTCCAACTTTACCCATTCGAATGGGACTGTTCCAAATAATTGTGCAATCCCTGATCTCTGAAATTTTGTCGAATTTTTCAGGATTTTAATAAACCAAAACCAAAAAAGGCTGTTATTGCAGTTTCTGTGTGCGTTATGTTGCATTTCTGTGCTGAATTTTTAGTTGTGCGCTGTTTTTGATGAGTAATGTCAGGCATACGAAGGCTTTTTGGAAAAAAAACAAAAAAACCCAACTACAATAACTTTGATGGGTAAAGATACCCTTTTAATACCACCCCCACCTCCCATCTGCTGAATTGAGTTCCAGAGGTTGTAGTATTTAAGTCAGGAAATTATTTATATTATAAATTGGTTTTCTTGTTTTTTCTCTATTCCTAAGGAGCAATCAAGAGTCTTCAAGTTGTTGCTTGATAGTCCCAGCACCAGTTCAGTATTGGATTCCAATGGCGCCGATGCTGATGCCGAGGGTAGATCATGCTATTGTTGCCACCGGTAAGTTCAAAGATGTGAAGGTGTAGACAAGTTTGATGAAAATGGCCTACATTTCTTGAAAGAGATGCAAAGCTGCAAGGCATAGGGTGGGGTAATGGTTCAACAGTCTTATGAAATTTATGCAGGCAAAGCTTGTAATTATTATTTGTGGGACGATTTTTGGGGTAATAAAGTTTGTTTTGTTGCGCTGTACAATGGGCTCCGTCTAATGCAGGGGTGGGCCAAAGTGAATGTTTTAATGATGAATGAATGATTTAACACCAAGGGCCGCACCCAAACTTTGATGTTTCTAGTGAGCTTCCAAAAAACTTTATTCTCAATTTTAATGTTACTTTTTACATAATGATCAGTGTCAGGCCGTAAAAAACATTGTGTTTTCTAGCCAATGTTGCTTGGCAGGCCGTACATATAGGGCTTCTAATTAATTTTTTCGTGGGCCGCAAAAAATCGCTGTCAGGCCGCACTTTGCCCACCTGTGGTCTAGTGGATCATGTGGTATTATTGCTTGCACTTGGTCTCAATTCAATAGACGTTTCCCAGTTGCTTGGCGCTATAATTAATTTCACCACAAACGTGCAATCCAAACAAGGCTTTATAGATTCACACATATATTATACCTAATTGCCTGTTCTGTTTTTGTAATTTTGAATATCTATTTCTGTCTTTTTTTGTGTGTCTTATTGTATTGGTTTTATAAGGATCCCATTGAAAATGAGCATGACTATCGTTGGCTTAATGGGTAATCCTGGTGCTCTTTTGTCTTTGTTTCTCATGTATTGTTATCTCGAGTACCTAATAAATCAAATCAAAAATCAAAAATATCACCCAACAAGCAGTGAGTGTCTGTTTATTATTTACTTTCTTTAAATTTAATATCAGTGAAGATTAAATTTAAAACATTTTAAAATAATATTACTATTATGTTTGTTGTATTTTAAAATGTTTTACTATTACTCCTCTCATCATGAACAAACATGCTTATTCTGCAGGGGGTTATGTTTATGTAACCGGTGGTACCAACAGTTGTTATGGCTACGGGAGAAATCGTCGCGGAATTGTACTTAATACAGGAGAAAGATACGATCCTTCTTTGAATCAGTGGACTGCAATAGCACCTATGTTGACATGTCGTGAGAATCACAATCTTGTTGCTATTAATGATGACATTTATGCGATCGGTGGAAATAACATGAATGAACGAGAACTAACGTCAGTGGAGGTATATAATATATTAACGGATACATGGAAGTATTCAGTTTCCATGCCGATTCCACGAATGTTCCCGTGTTGCATCGTCATGCAAAAAAAAATCTTTGTGATAGGTGGCTGTTCGCAGGGTCAGGTTTACGAGTCGGTTGAGTGTTACGATCCGATGTTGAAGCAGTGGAAGACAGCCGTGCCCATGAAGGAGCGGCGGGCATGTGCATGCGGAGTGGCTGTCGGGGATTCAATATTTGTTTTTGGCGGGAAACGCAGCTTAATGTGTCCCAGTGCTGAGAATCGCACCAAGTTCTGTGGCTCAGAGGTATACATTGCTAGTAAAGGCCTCTGGTTCAGCCTGCCACCGAACAACCTGTGCAGCATGCAGGATTTATCTAGTGAGTATGAGGATTAGATTGCTTGTTTAATCTTTGCCCAACTTGAATATGACGCCTTAAGTTACATGTAGACCAATGCCGGCAACTTGAAGTCGATTACATAGTTTTTGGGGTATAAACCGACCGACCCCCCCCCCCAAAATTGACCCAATTCTGTGTTTAAAGTGGGAGGATTTGCTTACCACCCAAATTGACCCAATTCTGTGTTCAAATTGGCGGGAGGGTTGGGTTGCACCAGAGAAACTACGGTGCTCATTCTTAAAATGGTTGCACTATTGAACATTAATAAACACTGAAAAATTATCAATTGAATGTTTTGCGTTTTTTTCCCCAGGTTGTACTAGATATTCAAGAAAAAATGTACAAAATATTTCCAAATATGTTTGCTATTTACAGATGTAAGTGCTGTGTTTCATATAGAGGATCAGATCTTAGCGATGGGTGATCTTTACATACAGTGGGAGAACCAGTGTCTACGTGGCGTGGACCAGGGAGGCTTCGGACAGTGGTACGAGATAGTTCTGCATCATCCACCATTCCGACAGCGAAACATGAAGGCCTGTGTTATGAGAATGCCGGCATCGGTCTACATGAAACTTAAGGCGTCATATTCATAAAGTTGCTGTAAGAAGAAAAATACCTAAATTGCTATTCTTTTTTTTAAATCAAAGGACCAATGTGTGTGAAGTGTAAAGTAAATAATACACAAGAGTAAACAATTCAATACCTTGGGATATTTTAATATTTACAAACAAAATGCACAGGTCTGTTAAGGCTGTATTGTATGTCGCCACTGCATACAATTATGTATATACAGAAACAACATATTAAAACTTGTTTTAGTTGAGACTGATCGCAAGCCAGCAGCTGAATCAGCTCTCAACTACTCATACAGTGGCATATTTGGGGGTGGGGGTGCGGGTGTGTGTGCGTGTAGGGCACTCACAACCTCCATTTTCCCCACTAAATTTTGTAGGCTAAAAGTCACCTAATATCACCTTTACGGTATTTCATCAGCTAGGTCCCCTTCACTTTTCGTCAAGCCCTCGCACTTACACTTCGAGCACCATCAGCCTCCCCCCCCCATTTTAGTATGCCACTGTTATCATGTATTCATTACAGTATGTTTGAATGGTCAGTAAGTTGAACATCTGTAAGTCTATGAATCTTTCAAACTTACAGTATTTGACCAAACAAATCATGCGGCTTGAAGTTCAAACGTGTTTTATTTACACCCGATTCACACAAGACAAAATGTTGCAAGCTTTCCCTGCTACATTCTCTCCATCCATGTGAATGACAGCACATTTATGTAAAGATCAAATAAAAACAGACATCACACAAGCCAGTAGTGTAAAACACTCCCAAGATATTTAGCATGAAACTATGTGCATGTTCACATGGGAGCTTTTATTTCACTGTTGCAAGGTTTGAAAATGTCAAGATGTTAAGTAACATTTTAGTCTCATGTGAAACAGGTTTAAGTCTGACATTGTATGCTTAGCCTTGCACTCAATTTTTTATTCAAACTTTAAAATCCACATGTTGATTAAAACTTAACCAATGTAAAGATATTCAGCACTATTTTTTACTGTTTTGTTAGACAAAAAATTTAAAATTTACAAATAATTTATCACGGAAGAACATTACTGTACTACTTTGTCCAGTATATTACACACACATGCACAGGCAGGATAAGCCATTGACCACAAGCCCAATCATATAAAACATAATCTTAAATGCCAAATGCTACTCCTTAAAGAGGTACATAATTAGACATCATAGACAGTATGAAATAATGTTTAAGCTTTTAAATATATGCCATTTTACACTATTTCATTGTAATGGATATTTCACAGATATATAACCTAGTATTATTGATGGCCTGGTGATTTAGTGATTGTAAAATTGATAAATTTGAGAGGAAACAGGCACCTCACTATTAAATTGAGCACATAATGTTAGCACATTCTCAAAAAAGTACATCAATTTTGTTGGGCAATTCCAAATATGGTATTCCCAATGCTAAATACCCTGAAGGATTTGGTTAGTTGTTTGACCCTGATTTATATCCTATAATAGGGTATTATTTCCATCAGGACGTGCTGAGAATATCATGTTCTTGTTCATTCTCTTCTCCAATGGATGTTGTCGGTTGACTGTCCAAGAAATCCATCAACTCTTTGTCAATGTCGTTTGAGGCATCCAGCTGTTTTGGGGAGTCACCTGGAGATGGTAAGGAGACTTCTATACCCATTGCTTTCCTAACTGCTGGGGTTGAGACTACATCTGCAGGTTTTGCCTATAAATAAAAGAATTTTAATCAATGTTTTAGCCAAGCAATAATATTAGTTTTATAGTTTCATGTTTTAATTACCTTTGTATGTTTGTATAGATGAATATCATGTCTTTATTAAGACATTAAGCACTGTTAGAACTTGCCATATTGTTGTAATTACTTGCTAGCACTATAAACCGTAAATTTAAAATTCTCAGAAGTTAGAGAGTAAGGTGATTTTGCATGAAAATTAATTGGGGTGGAATATTGAGTACTTAGGGTATATATTTTTCAGCATTTTTACAAAAAAAGAATGTTTTTGTTCTTTAAGGAAATAAAAATAATACTGCATTATTTCAGTAAATTATGAAGATTATGAATATAAAATTTCTGTTCCAAACCTCTAAATTTTAAGGGCATAGGTTATTTTTAATGAAAATTACATGAGGTGGGTGGGTATACTTATTTTAACATTTTTACAAAAATTGTTTTTTTTTGTTCTTTTAGGAACTAAGCATAATATTACTCTTTCAGTACATTATGAAGACTGAGTCACAATATTAAACAGTAATAATTATTATTATCAAAATATTTTTTCCGCTGGCCAGTATTTTCTTCGACTATAATACACAATAAAATATACTCTGTTGTACGTTATAAAAAAGTGTATTCATTTGAATAGCATTAGTTATTCATTAGCTTTTATATGAAAATATAATATTTTCCTTTATAATTAATTGGTACATAAATAACAATTAATATTTATTAAAATAAAAAACACCCTTTAATGAAATTGGCTGATTTGATATCTCAATAATTCGCCGAATAGTAAACAAATATCAGTTTATGTGTCCTGTTTCTGGTTCTGATGATGTTAGAAATTCAGTAAGATGCTAATTAATAATTTTATTATCTCTTACACTCCCAAGTCCAGCTTCTACAGTCTTGTTTTAAACAGGGGGTTTTCATCAGTAATGAGAATTAAATTTATATCTAATCATTTTTAAAATGAATTAGCTAATTTGCAAACTTCCTGTCTGTACAGGACACACTAAAGTATTGTATTTGCGCAGTGGATATATCAAAACCAAATTTGTGCAGAAAATTGCTCGGAATTGTAACTTATCTGCGTAATACACTGGATGTATATTGAGCATAGGGACAAATATGTGTGGATATTGGCCCTTATTTCAAAATGCATTTTTTCCATAGGGGATTATATATGTTTTCCCGTAGGGGATATATTCCTGTATAGGCCCTATTCATGAGTCTGGTGTACAGGTTAAATGTAAGACTTTGGGTTTCAATTCAGGTACATTATTAGGATCCTAATGGTATTATAGAGCAAGTGTTCAACAGTGTTTTTCTATTAAAATTTAAAAAAAAAAAAAAACTATCTATAAATACAGTTGAACTTACCAAAGTCAAATCCAAAATGGCATTGTATACTTGCTAGGCTGAACCAAAATTTGATTTCGACTTACAGATTGTTAATGGAAAACACAACAATTTGGCATGTAAAATTAGATCAACTTAGAAATTATGCGACTTAGGCAAGTTCAACTGTACAGTAATTATCTGTTAACTCACGTTTGATGTTAGTTGCATTAGCTGTTGTGTTATTTCCTCAGCAATATTGCTCTCTTCTTGGGAGGGTCCTTCGATAAACTGCAGGTGGGCCGGAGGCTTGCGGCTAAGCCTCTCAATCTGTTTCTTCTCTAAGTTATCTATTAGGTTCGCTGTAGAGTCCAACTTGCTGTTTAAGTCTTTGTTTTGTCCTGTCTTATCTCCTTCCCATGATTTTTCTACACACACCCAGATGAGTAAAAATAAAAGCACTTAAAATTTTAGAAAGAAAAAATAGTTGGTAATAATACTGAAATCATAAATATTTTCCCTTAAAATATAACAAAAATAATAAACATAAATATTCATCTTTATTAGTAATAATAATATATAAACACTTTTAATAATTCAGCCTTATAATAATAATTATTATTATTATAATTATTATTATTATAATGTTATTTAAGACAGTATAAAGAACCATAGCAGTAACTAAAGCAGTATTATTATTAAAATTATTATTATTATTATCATTTATATTATTATTATATTGTTATGTATAAAACAGTATAAAGAACCATATATCAGTTACTATAAAACTAATAATTTATGAAAAAACATCATTGAGTATTTTTGTGAATATAATCAGTGGTTCAGTTAGGTTAGATATATTTAAGAAAATTAATCATTTTAAATCTGACCAGTGAGACTGCATTGTCACAGGTGGTCAATGCCATTTACCACTAAACATCAGTCCATCCTGGATCGGACATGAGATATTGCCACATAAAAAAGTAAGTCCAGAAGAAATGATTCAATTTTAAAAATACAATAATTTTCGTTCTAATGGTTTTGAACCTTTGAAGCAAAAGTAATTAAAATGTTAAGGGACGTTTCCAGTCCAAGTAAATGTGAAATCATAAACTCTTCATTGGTTAATAATGCTCTGTTGTTAATAATTAAACTATTTAGGATACCATGTATAAATTTAGTTGCATGAATGTAAAAAGCACATAGGTGTATATAAAGATTATATTCATATTTAAACCAACATAAATAGCAGAATATTTTTACCGTTACATAATTGAGTGTTATTTTTATTGCACCTCTAAGACAAAAATATATTTAAAAAGTATTATATTTGTTGTAAACTCTCCATTATGGAGGAAAAATAATACTGTATTATGGTCATCCTCTGATATGTCAAGTAAGTGAATGTAAAAAGTACCAAGAAGTATACAGATTATGTTAATTGTATATTTATTGAATAAAAGTTACCAAGAAACCCAACATGAGATACTGGTGTGTGTCAATCATGCGGCAAAGTTATAGTTAATAGTTGATTGTGAAGGCTCAAAAATGAAAAGATTTCTCATTATGAAGAATTTGTTACCTTTTAAGATTTTAAATTGGGGTCCGTCAATCAAGATTTTTAAAACTTTTTAGTCTAGGCACATGACCCTTCCGAAGTGTCAATAAAACTTAACAACCGACCAGTCAAAGGATTGCCAGGAATATGTGTGTCCACAAACACGTGTTTGGGGCGGGGCTTAGCGGAAATGTCCATTAGTAGCTACTGAGCTAACAATCCATGGTTATCGGCATCACAATGACTGATTAATCTTGAAAGGCGCCATTTTATATGCCGTATGAGTATTTTTGGCCCTGGCTAGTGAGTATTTGTTTGTAAACAAGTTCTTGTAATCTCGAAAGCTCCGATGAGGGCAGTTAATAGAGGCAGGAGGTATAAAAAAAGATCTATTAATCAGCCTCATGAGGGCTGTATATTAGATCTAAAAAAAGTGTTTATAGAGCTCCTCATCGGAGCTAAAAATGACCACAGAATTTTTAGATTTTGGTCATTGACATCACATTTGGCATGGTAGTGCCCTACAAATCCTTGTACCATTGGAAAATAGTAATTTTCAACACTGAAAAACAAAATCCTCTGCTCTTCTTTATTTTCTTTATAATATATTTCTGTAATTTATCTATGCACTTACAATTGGCACACACAATATTCCTATATATAATTTCTAGAGACAAATATTTTAATTTGATTTTTAAGTAGTAGGAAGAACTATTATTGACAATTTCTACTTAACCTAATTACACTACTTCATATTAAATCAAGCATATTGCTAGCAATCAAGTATCTGCATTTCTTTTAATTTATTAAATATAAAGCATTAAAAAGAAAAATACAAATAAATATCAAAAATAGGGTTTATCAAACATTCTTAAAACAAATAAAACTGTCATTGGCAAACAAAGACATATTACCTATGGTTGCCTCTCGATAGGCTGGGATGACAACGCACTGATTACTAATAGTGATATTAAGAAATTATGCCATGGAGCAGCTTAGTATGTTTCAACTGTTGTTTGATATTATGACCAGATTAATAATGTTCGGCACATAGAGTTCTTGTTAGCATGATCCAATATATACAATTAGTTTAGTTTTATTATAATTATAAATTTGATGATAGTAATTAGTCAATTCATAGTTAAAGACGCATATGCTCATACATATATAGGATAATTGACATAAGCACCACGCACACACAACACGTTTATGTCGATTGAACTTAGATACCACAGGATACATGTATGCGCAGTTTAAACCACGAATTGGCTTAATCATTTGCATGATGTTTCTGACGTCAGCAATCTATGGTAAATTTGATAAACCCCAGTACCACAATCATAACAAATTCAACATAATTATATTGTATTTTTTTTTTCTCAGAACCTATCAAACACGGCAGTTATGTACCATAATATAAATCTTATATTTTAAAAATAAACATATTTTCTTGAGCCTAAATTAATGATGATGATAATAATTTGAAATTTATATAGACCTTCTATTTCTACTTTTTATCTTCATTTACATATATTATATTCTATTTCTACTTTTATTTACATAAATATATTATATATCTCGGAACTTACCAATGTCTGAGAGGAAGGACATGTCAATACCGATATTGGAAAGGCTCCTTAAGTCTTCAAAATCAATTTCCACATCTTCGTCCACAGCACTTTGAATATCTTTAGGAATGTCGGTAACCTTCTCTTTAGTACCATTGACTTTCGAGGTTTCATCATCATTTTTCTTCTCAGTAATTTTTTCTTCTTCTTTCTCAGGAATCTGCTTATCTTTGTTTGATGATGTATCACCTTTTTCGGTGGCTGTTGCAAGATTGGCTTGTTCCTTCATTTCGCTCTCTGTCTTTCGTTTCTGGAACAAAATATAATTAGGTAATCATACATTCCGCTGATGAGCCTATTCAGTATAGAGTGCTGTTTTTCTGTAGGGCCCAAACTTTGAGTCTAAGACTAGGCTAACCCGACAAGCCAGAAAAAATGGCTTATTTCTCTTGGGGTCCAATATCTACCAGCAACATTAAAACAGACAATAAAAACGCGCTGTAATGTTTAACTTTAAAATTAGAAGAAAAAGATTAAAAAGAGAAAAAGAATTTTAGCTATTATTATATTATTGATGGTAATAATGTTCATTCATTCATTCCTTCATTTTTTATTTCAGATACAAATATCCATATACTGTATATAACAATAAAGTATATAATATATGATAATTAAATATATTTCACTGAAACAATTCAAAGAAGGGTAAAAGCTCAATCTTACATCTCGCAGCTGTTTCATTGTTTTTGAATGTTCTCCATTTGTCAACGTATCAAGCAGATTGTCTACAAATTTAGTTACATGGCTTCCTGCATCTTTCACAAAGTCTTGTATACTGAAAAATAAAAAATAAATATATAAGTGCATTAATGAAAGTTGACACAGTATGGTGGTTGGCAAAGTGGAAGCAGGTTTGGGCTTTTGAGTCACTTGCTGTGTATTTTGCTTGTGTCTCTGGGGGGAAAAAATTTAAATTGCCTTTTTGTAAAAGAAAAAAAAAAGCTGCGATGTGTTGGTCGGTCAGGCTTGGGCAACATAACAGATTTTCATGATTTGTGGGTTGGTTAGGCTTGGGCACAGCGGTGGCACCAGAGGGGCCCACGAGGGGTCCGAACCAAAGGGCTGACGAAGCCTCGGTCGACGGCCTAGAATAAAAATCATTTGATGGGGTTCATGGGGAGAGTTTTTATGGCTTAGTATGATCTCAAATATGCTTTTAGACCACAATATTAGGGATTGGCAACCAAAATAATGTTAGTTGGATAGGCAAATTATATTTTTGTAAATTTTCGATCCGACGACCTAGTCATTTGTCAGACGACAGGGGGGTCCAGGTCTGTACCACCACTGGCGCCACCACTGCTTGGGCAACATAACAGATTTTCGTGATTTGTGGGTCGGACAGGCTTGGGCAACGTAACAATTTTGGTTTTTTTTGGCCTAATTACTTTACCCAACAAGCTCAGCTACAACTCCTCTGTAAAAAAATGCTGTATACTGTATCAAATACCTTTTTGAATACTGCACTCCTGCTTCATCTGCATATGTTGAATACAGCAGGTCAGACTCCTCCTTACTAATGTTTGAGAAACTGGAATCATATGATGGTGCATAAGAGCTGAATGGTCCATAGGTTAGATAGGTCACTGAAAATAAAATGTGATCTCAATCAGACAATCTATACTCATAGGCAAATCAAGGGGGCCCTAAGCCACTAAATTTTTCAAAATTATAAAATAAGGACATATTATAAGGACACATTTGAATTCTATAAGATGATCAAGTAAAGAGGAATAATATTGAATAGCAACATAATGGTGTAGCTATCACTACCTATTGTTTTTAATAATACTTAAACATTTATAAGGCGCCAATTCCAAATTGAATGATCAAAGGCGCGAGCGATATTACCCCTGGTCAGTGGATAACGTTCAATGGCAAATCAGCACAGAGTGCAACCTTCTCTGCTCCCTGGGGAGTATCCCTAGTCGTTCGCTAATTCTTTAGCGCACGAAACTAGAACATTCAATGCCACAACATCCTACCAGGTACCCATTTATACTCCTGGGTAGAGAGAGACAAAAGTAGATAAAGTGCACAAGGACACAAGCGACTTGCACAGTGAGAGTTTCGAACATTTTGCTGAACAGAGTGTCAAGAATTCTGAGACGTAATGAGGAGTGGATAGGTGCACGGAATAAGGAGCACTTTCAACTTAATTCACTCAGCGCCAGTGCAGTTTTTTACATCAGACAGATACTTGACTTGTTACCACAGTAATGCAAGTTATAAAATTATTTACCTGGGTTAATTTTATTGTGTTTATCCTCCTTGAATCCTGGCAAAGATCCTGATCCATTTGTCAACTTGCCAACCACCAGGCCTAAGTTGGCGACCTTAAGGTCAGTGTTGACTGCTGTGCTTGGGTTGAGCACACCAAGGGTCGTCGTTCCGTGCTCATCTTTACGCAAAAAACCAATCTAAATGTCCAAAGGAAAACAAAAATAATAGAATATTACAATTAAATCATGGCGGCTGAATTGAATTATCTTGGAAGTAATAAAAAAGAAATTATGGAATTTGTTAGGTCATTTTTAAGAAAGCAAAGTAATTTCAATTATAATTGTCTTTAAGACCAGATAGAAGGAGGAAAGTTGGTCAACAAAAAACAGTGGAAAAGAGGAATGAATGTAAGTATAGGAAAAGGATAAAGGTTGTTATAATTTGAAAAATAGCATGGAGGTCTAAATGTGACAGAAGGCACAAAGAGAGTAGAAAGCACTTCATAAGTTTGTTATTTATTAGTTATACTGTGTTATTATGATGTATTTATTGACCTCGGGAAGATAGGCTATGGTATCCACATCACTTTGGGGCAATAGATTTCACCATTCCCCTCATGAGCAGTCAATATTTGTATAATATAATATGTCTATGCCTGATGATCACTTTCGTATGAAACCAGTGGTAGCAATGGTGAAACATATAGCTTTAAGTTCCTGTGTGCCTGACCTTACCTCATTGACCTTACAATAGATTACTTTTGTTTACCTTTCCATGTGGGTTTCTGACTGTCAGTCTGTCTTTGGCTGCTTTTGCAGCTGCTAGGGCTTCTTTTACAACTTCATGAGGCTCTAAATTTTCTGTAAATCCTTCCCCATTTGGGTCATAGTGACTGCAAAAAAAAAAAAAAAAAAAAAAAAAAAAAAAAAAAATACACATTTAATTTTAGTTTTGATACAGATTGATATATCAGCTGATTATGACTTTAAAGGGTGTCAAGTAAATTCTAGAACCTTGAGTAAGTTATTAATCAATCAATTGGGACACCACCTGTATCTGATTGGTGCAGCGCATGCGATTTGGTGCCTCGAACAAGAGGTCTGGGTTTTTTAACCCCTTTAATGTATATTTTACATGTGTGTATGGAAATGTCACATTACCAACAAATGTGTCTCATTCACCCAAAAATATAAGTGATTACTTAAAATTTTCAAACAAGGCTTCAATAGCTGCTATACTATACGTATCCTCACCCAACCCACAACCTGGGAGCCCCCCCTCCCCCACCATTATGGTTGACTATGTGTTCTATAGGTATTTTATCAAATAATTGGGATAATCAAGTGAAGTGTATAGGGGACTTGTTGGTACAATACCCCTACAAAGACTGAGTAATTATTCCCTCAGTTTCTAAACAAGACATAACATGGTGTCTCCACCTTACCCTAATGGCACCTTATCCCTAGCCTGTTTCTTGTCCCCAGCCTTCGTCTTGCCCTCATGTGGCTGTGTTTCTGCAGACACCCCCGCATCGGATGCTAGGGCTTCAGAGTGCTTGGCTTTTGGCTTGGCTCGAGACCTTGGCTTTGTCTCCACTTCATCTACATAGTTGTGTGTACGCTTTAAGTGCGAGATTCTTTCCTGTTATCAACAATATATAATAATGAGTAAATGTGTTGTGGTTTTTATATTTCAAATGTTGTATACTGTATGTAAGTGTTGTTTATCTTTTCATTAATCCATATTATTAACATTAAATACAAATAAAATACTTTAAATTTTTATATTTTTTCATTTTAGAATATGAAAAATAAATTTTATCTTAATCTTAGACCAATTCCTCTTTTAAGTAATTATAGTTATTTGAACAGACAACAGGGAAGAAAGAAACCAGGGAAATAAAGTTAAATGGAAATTAATAATAATACACTGTACATATAAAGTTCATATGTATATACAAAGTTTACGCATATTAAGCTGTCTTTGAAAAAAACTGTTCTATGCCCATTATGATGTGCATATATATGGTCATGATACGATGTCATTAGGACTGGACAGGGCATAAGGTGAGGTGTCATGGTACTCACTTTATTCATCAGTTTGATACCGACGTTGAGAAGTCTCTTAGCTGCTTTGTAGTAAATCGTTTCAGGTCGGTTGTAGGTCATTGCATTTTCGCACATCAAAACAAAATCAGCCTTTAAATGAATGAATAAACAAATTAAAATAAGAGATACATTAGGACAATTTCAATGTTTTTAAAGGTTTTAAAAATTTCAAAATTACAACTTCGCAAATACGAATTATGCATAGTCAGTGGTGGTACCAGTGGGGGGAAATGCTCCCCCATCGGACAGGCTTGGACCCCACAATACTAAGCCATAAAAACTACAATGAACCCTACAAGAGATTTTTATTCTGGAACCCTGACCAAGGCTCTTATTGGCCCTTTGGTTCAGATCCCTTGTCAGGCACGTCAGACACTTTGTTGACAAATTTCTGGAGTCACCACGGTGTATAGTATTATTTTATTATTACATGGAATAAATAATAGTTCTGTACTGATAACAATAATGGTCTTGCCACTTCTATAGCACATAACAAGTCTCTATACACTCTGTGGACATGATGACACTTGCGTTTCATTATTAAAATAAAACCAATCTTTTATCGCTGCTTACCTTGTACTCATTAATACTTCCGTATTCATTGTTGTCAATTTTGACATGCATCGTACTGAAGTCCATTGGGTAGGCAATGATGCTTGAATAACCAGGAGCGATGACATCATTGACAGGCCAACTGAAGAACTCATTCTGGTCTTTTCTATAGGAAGTATAAAACAGTAAACTATTAATTGAGAAATGGTTACAGAAAATGGCGATTATGATAGCTAATGTTGCATTAGAGTACATAATGCAGCAGTGATGTTGGAAGCATATCTCAAGCCTAGTCCAGACTATACAATTTTACTTGACTAAAATCATGTGACATGCCCAAATATGGTCATGATGAAATCACACCATGACCATATGTGGCAAAGACAAGCCAAATCAGTCACTCGTAGCAAATAGCGTTTCAGAGATAATGGCCAAAACATGCTGAAATGTCAACATTTTTTAAACTTATTTCATTGCACTAAACTAACCTTTATATATCTATACATAATGATATGCTGTTATTTTCCCCATTTTCAATGTTAAAACTACAAAATCTTTAACAATTTAGCGATGGTTCCTGCCAGAGAAATGCCGAAAATCTATACTTTGAAAGCTGATTTCTCAAATAATAATTGTTCTTTAAACAGCTGTATGTTTAAACGCTTTCAGCGCTTTTCTCATAATAAAATGACGGATTTACCATAAATGATTCTTTTACTCTTTTATAGCTCTCATTTTCATCTTTAACCCAGTATTAATAACTAAAATCACGAGTGAATGACTGGTTTGGCTTGTCTTTGCCACGTGACACATAAAGGCATATCATGTTTATATGCTGTATGATGGGCATACTTGTACATCAATTTTTTTGTCAAAGAAAATTTGATAGTATAGAGAGAGCATAAGACAACTACTGGTATTGTTACTAAAAAATAATAGAACCTGCAAAGAGAATGAATGAATGAAGAGAATTTGCAGACTGGTCATTTGTGTTTATGTTAAACTGAAAAACAATTTACCTTTGCAAAGTTTTTTGCAGACTATCAAGTATCTTCTGCAATGGTGACACAGAGGGATCCTGATCCTCCTTCCCCCGACAGTGCCTCGTCGGAGCCGTTCTCTTCTCCACAAACTTCATTAGGAAGGCACGACGTGCTGGTGTTGAGTTCCAATCGATGTTCTCCTCATCTTCCCTTGCAGGAGGTTCTTCCTCCTCTTCTGTTACTTCTGAGGGAAGTGGCTCGACTCCTTCCATTTCTTCTTCCTCATTTGATACAGCTGGTGCCACTGGTTCCTCAAGTTCTTCGGATTCCTCTTGAACATGATCTTCCTCAACATACGACTCTTCTACCTTTCGCTGAAAAAATTTTTACAAAAATTTAAGATTTTGAAGACTTCTATAGTTTAGCGCACACATGCTTGGCTACCACGAGTAACTTGCTGAGCTAATCTGCTTTCTGCAACAAATATAAACTAACACACTTTATGATTATTTAAATTTTAAATAAACAAATTACCTTCTTTTCTTCTGGTATTTCCATTGGCTTTTCCTCTTTTTTCCGTCTTCTCTTTTTCTTGTATACATCCCTTGGCGATTCTTCATGGCTACTGTCAACTTGAGGTGGAGGGGCTTCAACAACGACTTCATCTTTCTTCCTTGTAGTGATACCTCTGCTTACTTTTAAAACTAATTTAGGAACTTGTGGTTTTTCTGTAATGTAACATCAAGACAACCGTTTAATACATACATGTACAAGGAAACGTTTCTTCTTTTGTACGAGTCTTTTGTTCGACCACTTTAAATGGAATATGAAGCCCAGGTCTGGTCGCCAATCCTGCAGAATATATATACTAAGCTCAACAGTTAAAATCAAATTATGACAATTTTATTCTCAACTTAAATTTAAAGACGAGGCAGCCCATACAACTCCTTGCTTGCTCATTAAATCACTAATAAGGTAAGATTCACTAAGTTAAGTGTAAATAAAATGTTATTTGAGGGGTATAGGGTAAAGAAAGACATTATTATACAGTAATATAGGCAGGCCTAGAGACTATACAGGTACAGTAAGTCTATAATAACAAGAAAATTAAATTAGCGTAAAATTAATATGACACACCAATTAGGCTACTTACAATTTACATTCCCAATTACTTAGGCTAGACCCTATATAGTACATCATAGGCTTAGGCTTACACCAATTAATTTTACAGGACTTAGCCTAGGTAGGCCTATTAATAATGATTAATAATTAAGTTAAGCCTCTAGGCCTAGGCTAGGCCTATATTTAATTGTCGTGTCCTGTATGTATTATTTACAATATATTCTTCTCTTCTTTGACTAATTCGAAAACAAAACAAAAACAAAAAACAAACAAACAAACAAACAAACAAACAAACAAAAAAAACCCAAAAAACAATCACTCATATATTAGCGAAGGCTAGGCCTAGCTTGGCTATCGTACATCATGTATGAGGGAAGAATGAACACATTCCCGGCTAGGATTTGGTCATGGAAGGTCAATGGTAAGCCTAGCCGACGTTTGGCATTTTCTTCAAAAAAAGACACACAATTCACCTTCTACAACAGGTTTCTTTTCGGCCCTATGTTTCTTGTGCTTCTTCCCCATCTTTCTAGAATGTTGATCAAGTCTAAATAAAATATGTTAAGTCACAAAATCTTTGTTTTGAACTGCGATCGTCAACTCACAACAAAAGCTTTTTCAAAAGGGACGCAGCTATCCGAGTGTCGGTGGCCTATGGGACGCCGTTTACACAACAACTCATTGAATATGAAATTACTGTACCTCGATATCATGATCAAGGTAATTGCCTTGATGTTATGAAAAGTATTGATGAAAACAATTTCAAAAATATATGGATGTAAATACTCCTAAAAAAACGTCTCGAAAAATACCTAGAAAATTAAATTTCCTCGATGCGGAAAATACCTCGATCGAATATCGGCCGCATTTTCCCTATACAGTTAAGGCAGGAATTATAGAGGGCGCTATTTAAAGTTAGTTAGGTGAACTGATAAACACGAACGAACATGCTTGACAAATAATGCTGTTCGTCCGGCCAGCCTAATTTTAGCCAGAATATACACCCTATCAAGTACCTCCCCCACCCCCGATAATTTAAAACACTATCAGCCAGAAACCCGTACACCCTTCCCCTTTAAGAGCGCACCCCTTCTAAGGGAGGTGGGGAAAATTTTTAAGTGTGCTAAATCGTCAAAAATTCACCTTTTATTTATTCACTAATAACTTTCCAAATGATCAAATATAAACAGTGGTCCACCTGGATAATGGATCAAAGATTGCTGCTGTCGGCCATCTTGAAAACATGTAAAACTGTAATATTCTGGCAGTAGACGAGATAGAAATGTATTTTCCCTTAAATGTTGGCATTAACAATACAATTGAATTGTTATTTAGTGTTTCTTATAACCTATAAGTGAAGGTTGAGAGAAAAATTATCTTGGAATTCAATATTTCCGAGACAATTTACCTTGAAATTTTGTCTTTTCGAGATATAAACTGTCTTATCTTCAATAAGCTGTCTTCAAATTCCGTCTCTGTGAGGTAAATTATGTTGAAAATTTATGTTTCTGATGAAACCTTGGAATTCATCGTTTTTACCTAATTTATCTTGGAATTCAATATTCCAAAAACCGAAACAACTAAATAAAAATTGGTGTAAACCAATATAGCTGCTTGGATTCCAAAATAAATCATCTTGAAATTTCATCTTGGTACGTCGTGTCTTTCTGCTGAGAGAATTATCTGGGATTTATTGTTCGTGTGGACTTCAAAATTCTTCCATAATGAAAACTTTTCCCCTATTTTCGACAAAAAATCATTCAGGTTAATTTGACCTAACTTATGCATGAGCGCACTAACCGCAGAAAACTCGAAATTCGTAGCTGCTATTGGCATTAAGCGCGTGACGTCATTCATAGTGTAGAAACGGTTGCGTTTCTGTAGAGTTTTGTAATTGAAAATAGGTGGCGCACAGCGAAATGCCCAGTTGTCAGAACCACGCTAATGATCGTGTTGCTATGAGGATTGTGTATGTGTAATGACAGGAGCAGACGGTACATAATTCGACCGTTTCTACAGTTATTGGTTAGAATCCTAACCAACGGATTAAATGCTAACCTGTTCAGGAGGTGATCGGATGTTGACTGGTAATTGAC